CTACTGTGTAATCTTCTCTACTCTTCTCTATTTACATTTACGCAGTTTTTAATCGGTAAAATTTGGGGAAAATTTTGAAAACCTAATTTTTATTAAGAAACCAATTCACCCCCCCTCTTGGTTTTTGTCCGACCACGCGAACATTCCGCTGCGCGATTCTAACACGAACAAGTGACTATGGCGGAAAACACACGATTGAAGGATCTTGCCGCTGACGTGAAGCGTATTTTGGAGCTGATGGAAAAAAGACATATAGAATACACGTCACGAATTGAGAAATTGGAGGAAGGCAATTCTTCAAGGAATGAAGGCTCTCCAACTTCAAACCTGACTCATCACAATGTATCCCAACCATTTCAAGTTCGTTCTGTCAAGCTGGACTTTCCACGTTTCAATGGTTCTGATGTTCTTGAGTGGATCTTCAAGGCGGAACAATTTTTTACGTATTATAATACTCCAGATGAACAAAGATTGACGATTGCAGCAGTTCATTTGGATGCAGATGTCATTCCATGGTTCCAAATGTTAACAAAGAATAACCCATTTCATTCATGGGTGGGTTTCACCAGAGCTTTAGAAATGGAATTTGGGCCCTCTCCTTATGAGTGTCCCCGTTCCACTCTCTTCAAGCTTGCTCAAACCAGTTCAGTACAAGAATATTACAAGGAATTTACTGCACTAGCAAATCGTGTATATGGTGTAACGCCAGATGCACTGTTAGATTGCTTCATTAGCGGTCTCAAACCAGATATACGTCGAGACGTAATTGCTCAGGCTCCAACCTCGATGATTCGTACAGTCTCTTTAGCTAAGTTATATGAAGAGAAATACATCCCTAAACACAAATCCTATCAACCTCATAGCCTACAAAAAACCACCTCATACCCGATTACCCAAACCAAAAAAACAACAAGCCTTCCACCCTTACTTACGACTCCCACAACTACCCAATATACTCAAACTCACAACAAACACTCCAATATAAAAAATATATCCGCCGCTGAGATTAGGATGAGACGTGAAAAGGGATTGTGCTTTACATGCGAAGAGAAATTCTCACCTGGCCATAAATGTCCAAACCAACAGTATTTGTTATTACAAGTTGAAATGAATGAGCAAGAGTCTTTGGAACCAGACCCACCAGATCATGTTATACCTGAATTGCAAGACTTGTCGTTGGAACCTGATTTATCATTCAACGCCTTTAATGGAGGATCAGGTGTGGGTACTATGAAATTTCAAGGAGCAATCAATGGTATGGTGGTTCAAATTTTATTGGACAGTGGCAGTTCCGATAATTTTTTGCAACCTCGATTAGCCCATTGTTTAAAACTACCTGTTGAGCCAACTTCAGGGTTTCAAGTTTTAGTGGGAAATGGTCATGCTTTGACGGTGGAAGGCATGGTGAGAAATATGGAAGTCATGATTCAGGGTCACTCTTTAAAATTACCCGTTTATCTTTTACCGGTTTCAGGTGCTGATTTAGTGCTTGGTGCTGCATGGCTAGCCACCTTGGGCCCACATGTTTTAGACTACAGTGCTCTGTCATTGAAGTTTTATTTAAATGGAAAATTTATCACCTTGCATGGAGACAAACCAAGGCTTCCTGATCAAGCCCAATTTAACCACATACGCCGCATGCATAAGACTCATGCTATTTCAGAAGTTTTCACCATGCAATTGGAGGCCCCTTATTGTGTTGATGATCAATGGTTACAAATACCAGATAATGTAGAACCAGATTTGGCTTTGTTATTGCACTCATACAAGGATGTGTTCTCAGCTCCGCCAAGATTGCCTCCAAGTAGAACTCATGATCACTCCATCTCATTGATTCCTGATGCACAACCAGTTAAGGTACGACCATATCGGTACCCTCATAGTCAAAAGGCACAAATAGAAAAAATGGTTAATGATATGCTGCAAGAAGGACTTATCATGCCTAGTAATAGTCCCTTCTCCTCTCCTATTGTTCTTGTAAAAAAAAAAAGATGGACAATGGAGGTTTTGCACTGATTACAGGGCTTTAAATGCCATTACTATTAAAGATTCCTTTCCAATTCCTACCATAGATGAGTTGCTTGATGAATTATTTGGAGCCCAATATTTTTCAAAGCTAGATTTAAGATCGGGGTATCACCAAATATTGTTAAAGGAGGAGGACCGTTTCAAGACAACTTTTAGAACTCATCATGGCCATTATGAGTGGGTTGTTATGCCCTTTGGTCTTACAAATGCACCGGCTACCTTTCAATCATTGATGAATAGAATTTTTCAAGGACTGTTACGCAAATTTGTTTTGGTCTTCTTCGATGATATATTGGTATATAACTCTACTTGGACTGCTCATTTACATCATTTGAAAATTGTTTTGCAAACACTTAGGCAACACCAATTATATGCTAAACTTTCAAAATGCTCCTTTGGGTTGAAACAAGTGGATTATCTTGGTCATACAATTTCAAGTAAAGGTGTGGCAGTGGATGCTTCAAAAGTGCAAGTTGTGTTAGATTGGCCCCAACCTCAAAAGTTGAAGCAATTACGTGGGTTCCTTGGATTTACTGGTTATTATCGCAAATTTATTCAAGGATATGCTACTATAGCAGCCCCTCTTACACAATTATTGAAGAAAGATAGGTTTCTTTGGAATCCAGTGGCAGCTGATGCTTTCAACAAGCTTAAGATTACTTTGACAAATGCCCCAGTCTTAGCTCTGCCTAATTTTTCTCAACAATTTGTTATCGAAACAGATGCATCAGGTATTGGCATAGGAGCAGTCCTTAGTCAAAATAATCATCCACTTGCATTTTTCTCAAAGAAGTTAACACCGCGGTTGCAAAAGAAATCTGCATATACACGTGAGCTATATGCCATTACAGAAGCCATTGCTAAGTTTGGTTCTATCTCTAGTAAATGTGGGCAACTTGGGTTCTTCCCATAAAGATGGTTCGAAGGAAATAATAGAGGAAAAGTATTGCCTATCTGAATCAATTATCAGATGTAATTGTTTTATTTTCCGTTTTATTTTATTTTACTTTGGCTCTTTTTGGCTGCCTGATATTATGCAGTTTAGAAATATAATTTCAATGTATGCCTTTTGGCATCATAACTATGTTATTAGAATAATCTATATTCTTATTGAACTTTTTTCTTGCAGGGTCTTCTATATCTGAAACTTGCTAGATGTTACATGTCCTTGAAAGAAAGTTCACAAGCAATTCTCTATTTTTACAAAGGCAAGGTTTTACTTTTAATGGGAACGGTATTCAGTTAGATGATACCTTGTGAAAATTACTTCCTGGTTTTCCAATATATATGAAATATTCTATCAGTCATTCCTTTTGATGATCAAGCTTCTGAAATGATCTTTTTGGTCAAAATTTTGGTTCCTAATTTTTTTCTTAGGGGAGTAGGAATTTCACTTCAGCATCGTAGAATCAAGGCTGTTCTCAAATGTATTTTGGATTACTTTTGAGTAAAAAAAATTCCATCATAACATATCTGCATATCTTGTAGCATGCACTTTTCATGTATAGATCAATACACAAAATTAATTTCTTTTAAGTATAGCTTCTTCATTGAAGGCAACTACATTTATTTTTTATGAACTTTTTGTTTTGATTATTGGGTGGTGTGCTTCTATACTAATGGAGAAACATTTAATTGTTGGTTTTCATATTCTATTGGCTTTTGAAGAAACACGAGGCTAGAGTTTGGTGCCGTTAATATATGTAATTTTTTGGTGGTGCATTTGTTGTCTTTCACTCTATATTTGCTTTGGAATAAGATTTTTTTAGCTTCTCTCTACTAGTTTGCTCATGGATGTTACAATGAGTTTCTGTTTCAGGTTTTACAAAGAAGTTAAGCATGCTTTTCTTGAGTTTATACATTCGTTGTCCCATTTTTTCCACTTTGAGGATATCTTATCTCCTTCCCTATATTCCACTTTTTAATTTCTTTTTCCTATTTAATTATTAGAATTATTATTACCAATGTTTTGAAAACTTGATCGAACCGACTGGTTTAACTGAGAACCGAACTAGAAACTGGTCCGTTGTTTCTAAATAATCGGGTTTTAATTAAACCACCGGAAAAACTAGGACAAAACCAGAAAAACCAACTGAGTTTTTGGGTCAAACCGGTTTTAGTAAAAAAAAAATAGGATCAATTTTTTTTATAAAAGATATATATATATATATATATATATATATATATATTATAGTTCTTTTTTTATCTCATATTAGTTATGTCAACTTTAAAGAATAGTAATTTTATTGTATACTCTAATATATTTTATATATGTAACCGTCATTGTAACTTACTATAACCATTACAAGTAACCTTTATTATTTTTCTTTATTTTGTAAAAAATATTCTTACTAATAAACTTGTTATATATTTATTATATTATAAAAATATCATTTTATTAAATTCTGTTGGATCCGGTTGAACCTTTAAACCTCGAATTCATGCCTTCACAAGTTCAGTGACCGGTCCGGTTTTAAAAACATTGATTATTACTGTCAAGAAAAGTCTCACATCGTCTACCTTAATTAATTTTTCAAGTAGAACTTATATATGTGTTGGTCACTTCGTCTAATGTCAATTGGTTTTAGGTTTAAATCTAATATGGTATCAAAGTCGTCTTAGTCTTGCCTATTATAGCAAACATCTTCTTAGTCGAGAGGGAATGTCAAGAAAAATCGTACATCACCTACCTCAATTCTTCAAGTATGACTTATATATATTTGTTAGTTATTTCGCCTAATATCAATTGGTTTTAGGTTGAAATCTAATAATTACTTAATGTTTAAAAGCCCTCTTTCGAATTTATATATTGTTTAGATAAGGGAGAAAAAAGGAAGTGTGTTAAAATTAAAAAATGCTACTACTTATGTATAACATCCCTTCTGACTTTGAGACTTCAGAATTGATTTCAGTTATCAGAACATATTTTATTTAGGCTTGTATTGTTGCACTATAGTGCATATGTAGATCCAATGAAGCCGTACTCTCTGTTGTTGCTTCCTGATGATTGTTCTGCTGTAAAATATTCGTACTCCTTCTTGGTTGGTGAACAATATTTTTGTTTCAGCCCTTGAAATACTACAAGATGATGTTGATGCACGTATAACTCTATCTTCTCTTCTGCTTGAAGAGGGAAAAGAAGATGAAGCAATTTCCTTGCTGTCTCCTCCAAAAGATTCTGGTATTTCCAACATGTTTTATTTCTTTGTGATTGAAGTTTTTTGATAGAGATTTTAATGTGAAAAAACTCGCAGACTCAGGAGAAGCACATTCTGAAAAGTCAAATAGATGGTGGGTTGATATAAGAATAAAGCTGAAGCTCTGCAACATTTATTGGAATAGAGGGACACTTGGTGATTTTGTGGAAATAATTTTCCCTTTGATTCGTGAATCATTATATGTTGCAACTCTTCGACAGAAGGTAATATTTGAGAAGCTAAAATTTGACCTCTTTGAAGACAGTCAAATAGAGATATGTAGATGTTCACTAACACCCTTTGTGGGCATGCATGGTACTTGCTTGCAGATTGTTAACATGTTCATAAACTACATTATTTCAATTAGATCTTAAGATTGATTTTGAATGTTAGAAAGGCGTAATTGAGGACTTTTCAAACCATAACAGTTTTTGGATGAGGCTGGCAATTCCACAACCCAAAACAACAACAAAGTATGTTCGATCTTGCAATTCGTGGATTAAGAACAACTATTAGGGCTATCCTTGCATTTAGTGGAATAACAACCAACTATGAGGGCTTAATTTTTGAACTTTTTTTCTTGAGAATATTATAGTGGGTTTGTTGGATTTTGAAGATAAGGTCATTCCAAGGAAGGGGTTTTTATTGAAGTAAAAGAATGAACAACGGACTTGGACACTGGACATGATACAGATATCAACATGTTTAACTTTTAAACGTGATTCCAGGTTACAGCATTCACCCACAGACATATACAGAGAGATAAACTCTAATGAAATGGGAGTAGTGTAACAAAAATAGAATTAGGTAATCAAATTTTGTATATATACCTTTTTATTATGTCTGTGGCTCGCAAAAGAATATTATGGTACACTATTTGCATAGAAGGGACTTGGTTTCTTTACAAAAAGTTCCAAAGACTGAAGTTATGTATTTTAAAAAGGTATATTCACAAGCTTAAACTCTATGTTTTCTCTATGAATAAAAAATGTATTTTTTTAATATACAAGGTTAAGGTTCCAACATAAAACCAATTGACAATATGTGGAGTAGCCTAACATGTATTTAAATCATACCAAATGATATGAGGTAGGCAATGTGGGACTTTCAACACACCCCCTCCAACGAAGTCTGCCGGACCAGGCAAAGGGTACTTTTGACCCAACTAAAGGGCAACTTTTGGGCCATGACAATAACCGGAAAGATGTTAGGCTTTGGTTCTGATACCATGTTAAGGTTCCAACATAAAACCAATTGACAATATGTGGAGTAGCCTAACATGTATTTAAACCATACCAAATGATATGAGGTAGGCGATGTAGAACTTTCAATATACAATAATATGGAAGTGTCAGCAAATAGTACAGACTGACATTAAATTATTTTTAACTAGACACTAAACGAGAAGTGACACACATGTAGTGTGTTAGTGCAGAAATGTGTCCGATTCGACACTTCAAATAAAAGAAGTGTATGTGTTTCATTGGGAATCAACATTGTTAATATTTGCTATAGGAATTGGGTTAGAAATAAGTTGTTTCCATTTGGATATGTTGTGGCTTCTTTCCTTTCGTCAGGTTTAAGTAAGCTATTCTTTGAACTGTTAGGTCATATGAAAATATCCTACATGTTCTTGATCATTTCTCGGATTATCCTTTAGTATTAGTTCCATTATCTCTTTGTCTTTTATGATTAATTAACTTCTTTCCTTATCTCATGACTCGTTTCCTTATTTAGTTTATGATTATGATTTGTATAAGGAAATAGTTTTCGGTTTTTAAAGTAGAAAACTAAAAATCAACATTGATAAAATGTGTTCTTTGTTTTAATTTTCTATTTTCATTAATATGTGTGTGGTTGCACTATATTACTCAGATTTTATTGTCATGAAATTATCAAATTCATCCTCCAACTTATGTGGTGACTCTTTATCAAAATTAATTTCTAAACCTGTTTTCAAAAACAAAAAAATAAAAATAAACCAAACAAGCTTTTTTTTATCATATAATCAATCTTATAAAACAAGGAAATAGTTTTCGGTTTTTAAAGTAGAAAACTAAAAATCAACATTGATAAAATGTGTTCTTTGTTTTAATTTTCTATTTTCATTAATATGTGTGTGGTTTATGTGGTGACTCTTTATCAGGTATTGGCATAGGAGCAGTCCTTAGTCAAAATAATCATCCACTTGCATTTTTCTCAAAGAAGTTAACACCGCGGTTGCAAAAGAAATCTGCATATACACGTGAGCTATATGTCATTACAGAAGCCATTGCTAAGTTTCGTCATTACACATTCATTATAAGGACAGATCAGAGGAGCTTAAGAAGCATTACAGAGCAAGTTATACAGACACCAGAGCAGCAGGCTTGGTTACATAAATTGCTTGGCTATGATTTCATAGTTGAATATAAGCCAGGTAAGGATAATATTCCAGCAGATGATGTGTCAAGGTCCTTCTTAATGGCATGGTCACAACCTCAATCGGAGCTGATCCATTCCATAAAGACTGCCATCTCGGAGGAAGAGGAATTGAGGTCCATTCAAGATAATTGTAGAAATGGAAAACCACCACATCCTCTCTATTCGGTTCATGATGAACTGTTATACTGGAATGGGAGGATAGTCCTGCCACAAAATCATACCATCACGCAACAAATACTCCATGAGTTTCATTCTTCTCCATTGGGAGGACATGCTGGAATAACCCGTACGATGACACGTATTGCAGCTTAATTTCATTGGAAGGGTATGCACAAGGAAATTACAAAGTATGTCAAGAATTGCCTTATTTGTCAACAAGCTAAGGCCTCCAATACACTTCCTGCATGACTTTTGCAACCCTTACCCATTCCTAATCAGATATGGGATGATATAGCTATGGATTTTATCACAGGACTTCCACCATCAAACGGGTTCACGGTAATTTTAGTTGTAGTGGACAGACTTTCAAAATATGCTCACTTTGCCACTCTTAAATCTAGTTATACAAGCAACCAGGTTGCTGAATTATTCATGAAAACAGTGGTTAAACTCCATGGTTTCCCAAAAACAATTGTTTCAGACAGAGATAAGGCTTTTACAAGTCACTTTTGGAAACAGTTGTTCAAATTGAGTGGCACAAGTCTAGCTATGAGTACAGCTTATCACCCACAATCCGATGGTCAATCAGAGGCTATAAATCGTTGCATAGAAATGTATTTACGTTGCTTTACCTATGAGAATCCTAAGGCGTGGACAAAGTTCTTACCATGGGCAGAATTCTGGTATAATACGGCCTATCATAGCAGCGCTAAAATGACACCATTTAAAATAGTATATGGAAGAGACCCTCCCCTAGTGCCGAAATATGATTCCAAATCCAACACTTCAACTGACATTCAGGAATTGTTGCAACAACGTGATGTCATTTTGGCACAATTAAAACAAAATTTGATTAAGGCACAACAACGTATGAAAAAGGTTGCTGACCAAAAGCGACGAGAAGTGGAATTCAAGATTGGAGATATGGTCTTAGTCAAGTTGCAACCTTATAGACAAAATTCTTTAGCTCTGAGAAAGAATCAAAAGCTGGGATTAAAATATTTTGGACCATTTCCGATCATTCAACGTATTGGCCAAGTAGCTTACAAGTTATTACTACCAGGTTCTACTAAGATTCATACAGTTTTTCACTGCTCACAATTGAAACCCTGTCATGGTGATCATAATCGACCTTATGTTCCTCTGCCCATGATCACTAATGAGATTGGACCTATTATGCAACCCATTTCAATATTGCAATCACGATGCATTCTCAGAGGAGGACAACTAGTGAATCAAGTTCTCTTGGAATGGGAAGGCTTCAATGAGTCTCAAGCCACGTGGGAAGATTATGATGTGATCAAGATAAACTATCCAGATTTCAACCTTGAGGGCAAGGTTGATTTTAATGGAGGAGGAAATGTAAGAGAGGAAGAAGCAATAGGGGCAATTAAGGAAATAACCACTGTTAGTGGGGCAATACACGTGGTAAGTGATCCTAAGGAGGTGAGAATCAAAAGGAGCATAGGACAAAGACACCAAATTCACGTTTGAAAGGATTCGTGGTGACAACAAATAATTATATATGATGGGTTTTTTGGATAGTGGGGGGAGGGTGTATGTTGAATGTATTTTCTCTCTCTTTTCTATTATGCGAATATTTTTCTGTCCTTTTGACAAATTCTTCTCTGACTTGAGAATATAGTGAAATATTCATAATACTGTCGTTGTTGGTTTAACCATTATAACAGAGTGGTATCTCACAAACTAAAATATTGATTCTCTATTTGAATTTGAAATGTTTGTCTCGTACTTAGTATGGCGGTATAACATCTCTTACTAACATTTCAAATATAAAATTTATGAAGACATATTATTAAGATTAAATTTTAAAAAAATTGACAATTTATTAGTAATATAATTACTGATAAACTAAAAAAAATAATATAATAATAATATATTGAATTGTTTTATAATTCTATAGAACCTATTGTCAACTATATATTTCAAGTATAATTTTATTTTTCAATCTGTACTTAGAGCATTTCAATCGTAAAATTAAACACGGTTACTTGTATTCTTATGTTTTGAAATTTAAAATAATTATAATTTTAATCTTTTAATTTTTTGTAAAAATATTTCAATTTCTCAAAATAAAAAATATTTTAACAATATATTTCTTTAAAAAAAGAAAAAAAATGAAACGTAAAATATTGAAATTATATTTACTAATTTTAATCTAATTTAACATTATATATGATTATCTTAAGATTTTGACACAACTATGCGATAATCCAATAATATCAGATAATCCAACAAGACTGGTTTATTTTATATTTATTTTATATGATGACCCAACGAAATCCCAAGCCTCAGTATATAACACTATAGACTGAGAGGTCAGAATCCAAATCGTCCACCTCATCGTGTGACCGACCTTACTAGTAGGGATGACAATTAAACTCGTACCTGTGGGGACCGACCCGTCCCTGTCCCGAGTTTGACGGGAAAACCCGAGTTGACTGGGGCGGGGTCGGGTTTTCCTCGCTTTAAAAGTCGAGGCGGGGATGGGTAATGCAATCCCCACCCCGACCTCGTCCCCGCCCCGACTTATATTTAAATTTAAATTTTAAAATATTAATATTTTAAAAGTATTTCATTTTCTTTTCCTATTACATATAAGATTATTTTTTTATATTTCACCAATTTTTATTTTTCTTCTACCCACTTTTTAATTTTTTTTATCTTTTTCAATCTTTTATATCAATTAATTTATTATATTATTCTCTCCCTTATCTTTCAGCTTTTCACATTTTCTTAGTCTCTCCCATCAATTTTTTTTTTCAATCTTTTCAACCAATTTAATGAACACAAAGTTAATCTTTTTTCTTTATCTTTTTCTAAATATTTTACATCAATCTTAGTAGTAACTAATATTAGTTTATTTATAAATTATATTTATTATGTGATATTTTTTTTATCTTATTATGCTTATTTATCATATATCAAATTTTATCTTAATAAAATAATTGCATTTTAAAGGATTAAAAGAAATTAATAATTTAAACTTTTATTACTTCAAACTAATTAAATAAGAATTAACTTATTAAATATTTTCTTATAAACTATATATTGACAACTTAAAAATGAATTAACTTATATGTATAATTAAATATTTGAATACAGTATTATAATAATAATGTTATAAATATTCAAATATTTGAATATAGTATTATAATAATAATAATAATGATATAAATATTAGTATATATATATATATATATAAATAAAAAATAATTAAATATTTCTTTTACATATATATTTTAATATAAATATAATAAATTTAAATGTATATTTAATTAATAATAACTATAAATTATAAATATTTATTTATATATAAAAATACATAGTAACATTAATTTATTATAAATATAATTATCTTTTTAAAAATAATATAAATCGGGACGGACAGAAACCGAAACCCAGCGGGACGGGGATGAAGACTTAATTCCTAACCCGATGGGATCGGAGACGGGGATGATTAAAAAAGTCGGGCGCATGTCTGCTTACTAGTAAGTTATGTGATGAGTTTATTTATTTCAAGGATATAATCCCAAGAATCTCACCTGTTACCAAGAATGAATCATAACTGAACGTAGGAAATCACGAAAGAAGCCCTAGGTTGAACGAGAGAGGTCAATATAAACAAATAATACGGTTATAGGGATAGATAACTTACAAGATAGTGCAGATTAAAGTAAAATTTTAGAGCATTAAACAATCTATTCAATTTCATCTATAAAAATTATATCTATTTAATTATATTTCAAGCAATACAAAAATCGATTAATTCCAAGAATTGGAAACAATCTAAACGAGGATAAGACGTGTGATTCCAAATCTGCTGGATGCAGACAAAGGAGGGGCACTCCCATGCCAAAAAAGGAAACTCCTAGAACGGCAAGGTTTGGTTATTAAAACATATTGATATGTCTGTCTCTATCCCCTTCCTATTTTTCAATTTAAATGATAAAATTATGACAACATATTTGACTATCCTTGCCCCTCTTTCTGTTTCATCAGAGGTGCAAAGAACAGGCAGAGGAAAAGCGGGAAAGAAAGATGGAGACATAACATTGTTTGGCCGTGTTTACCAGTAGAAGAATGCAAGAGTTTAAAGGTGTTAGGGTAAATCTGATGAGGTTGACTCACAGCGCATATCAAGAAGCAGTTCATGAATTATATCCCTCTGAATCAGATACACTAATGCACAATATCTTCTCTCTGATCTTTCATTTAATTTCATAGAATACTTCACAAAATTACTGAAACCACAAAATTTAGTAATTTATACTTCTAATTTAAAGGATAAACCTCTGCCAAGTTGAGTAAGCATTGATCCAGCATCAATACAATCCAATTAACAAATAGAATAAATGACCAAACTGACAATTCTATATTAAAGAGATAATATTTCAGAAATAAAAAAGCTAAATTCCCTCTTTTTAAAAATGTCTAAACCTGGACGGCTGCATTTCATTGAACTCTGAAGCAGCACATATTTACATTCCTCTCGCCTAAACAATGGCCAAATAACACACTACAGAACTGTACATGCACAATTGAAACAGGTCACAAATACATGACAATTTATAGTTAAATGAGACTATAAAACTCTTTGAACAGGACAAGAAAAAAGCATGCATTCTAGTGTCCAGTGTTGAGCCCGACACTACTAGCATTGCTTGCACTGAGGCTTAGCTTATAGAAGAAACTGAAACCCCATATGGCCAACTTAAACCACCGCTAGTTTCAAATTAGCGTTACCGTTTTGTTGGTCCAAGCCAATGCTTGCAATAACATCCGATTTTAGACAATTCTACATAGACCTTATGAGTATTCGCCAAATTCAAAGAAGCCCAAGGATAAATTATTGATTGTCACAATACACACATGAACTGAAGTGTACAATTCTGCTCAAACAATTGGTATCTGATCATATTTTTGAAACGATGCATAAAATAAAAGTCTTGATATTTAACTAGTGCAGCATGCAAATAATTACTCCACGCCAAGTAACACAACAATGGAAGCACGAAAAAGTATATATCCACGGTAATATACTCATTGTTTTAAAATACAAGGTGAAACAACTTATGATCCAGAAGCATGTATACTCCTAACAACAAAATTATGTATAAAAAAAGATTGAGCTAACAACCCATCAACCAAAATTTCAAGAAAACAATATTATTATGTCTGTATAAGAACAATGTTACAGCCTTTGGATAAGAATTTCAAGATGTTGTAGGCTGTAACTAGAAGGGTGACCAATTCATGCTATCGACTGCAATCACAGACTCAAAGTGAAACAACAAAATAACAATCTATAGTTCTGTACTCACAATGGCAGATTTCAACGTCTGAACCATCCACAAACAAAGTCACAAAACGCTCCGAGCGTCAGCTACCGTAACGCTGATTCCGAGCAGCCATATTGGCAACCTGAGCCTGCAGCTGAGCCGCCCTAACTTTCGCGGCGGTGGCGCGGTGAAAGAACTGCTCCCTGGACAGCGACCTCACACTCCTCAAGTACTGATCAAACGGCACAGCCCCCACCTGAAGAGCCTTATCCAACGCATAAAGCGTGTCCTCAATCGCCAAATCAGCAGCAGTGCAGTCAAGCATCTGCTTGGAGAGCACATCCACACACTCAAAAGCATCCTCAGGGTTCTCCAGACCCCCAATCTTCTTCCCCTGGTTATCCCTCAACCACCCCTCCAAAACATCAGTGTTCATCAACACAATCTGCAACTGCTGCTCCAGGGCCTCCATCTCCTCCTGCATCTCCTTCAACCCCTTGTTGAGACTCTCCTCCCGCTGCTTTAACACGCCCTGCAAACTAAACAGCCCCTCCATCTCACCCTCCCTGGTCTTCCTCAAGGAGGAAACATCGCCATGAACCATCTCCACAAGCTTGTTAATCGCGTTCCGCTTGAAAACCTCGGAAGGATCCTCAGTGTTCTGAACCCTAGAAGCGGGAGCAGGGTAAGGGGAAGGAGGGTAAGTCCTGGAAGGGGGGTGGTGGTGGGGGTAACCAGATAAAGAAGAAGAAGAAGAAGAAGACAAATTAGAAGAAGAGTTTCCGAAATTGGGAGGATGAGGGTGAGGATTTGGATTGGGATTGGGATTAGGGCTAGGGCTAGGTCTGCGTTGGGAATAGAGGGGAGGGTCGCGACCGAAGTGGAGGCTTAGATTGAGAATGAGATCGACGAGGTTGGAACTAGGGTAGGTCCAATTCTGCAAGTAAGGGACGGAAACCAAACCGGAAGGGTTAACGTGAGGGTGGGGGCGCTTGATGATCATGTCGCGCGTGGGATTCACGTAGACGCAGGGCGGGTGGCGGGGGTAGGACTCCATGAGCCAGATGACGACTGGGATGTTGTAGGTGACGCCTTGGAAAGTCATGGGGATGGTGCCGTCGGCCTGGAGGAGGTTGACGGAACGACCGTCGTTGTGCGTAAAGGAGGCCGTTTTGGGCTCGAGCGAAGGGAAGGCGGTGGTGAGCGCCACCAGATGCTGGCGGATAAGCCACTTGGTATCCTCGGAGTAAGGGACGGCGGAGGGGCCGCGCTGGGAGAGGACGGAGTTAAGGAACTGCGTCATCGCCGGTTGGACCATGCCGATTCCGATCGGGGTTGGGGAGATGAAGTAGCAGAGCAAGGTTTATGTTGTGCGAATCAGAATCAGCTATGAGTCTGAGATTGCTTCCTTGCTTCCAAAGGCAATTCGTTATAACTTTCACGCATTTCAATTCTCTCTGCAATCTCCCACCACGTCACTGTTTATATTTTTTTTCTTAGCTTAGGCCTCTTCTTTTCTTCCTCCGCTTCACCTTCTACGAAAACGGGTTTTACTCGCACTTTTAACAACCGTGTGAACACTTTCGTTTTCTCATTAATTCCTTTCCTTTTTTTTTTTTTTTTTTTTTTTTCTAACTCTAGTGCAAGAATTTTAACACTTATCGATCAAAAATCACAACAGGAATGACTTTTAAAGTAATTAATTATCAATACATTTTTATTAAAAATATATATTTCACTATCTCATATTTAAATTAATTATTAGAAATTTTTTATTATATAATTAATATTTAAAATATTGTTTTAAAAAATGTTATTATTTTAATTTGAAAGTTAAGATTAAAATATCATTAATATTTTATATTTTTTTATATATAAAAAGTACTAAAATATTATATATATAAAAAAATCTATACTATGTAGCGTTTATGTTTTTAAAATAATTTTTAAACTAAAAAACTTAACAATAAACATTTTCATAAATTTCGGATAATAGACTTTTTTTTTATTAAGCCTCAATTTTCTGATTTTATAACGAAAATTATGATTTATGAATTATGAAAATACAATTTTATCTTAAAATTTAAATTTAAGAGAAATTATGGAAGAGATTTGCATACTATCATAATAATAAGAGATAAAGTAATTTAACTTGAATGTGATAATTAACCCTATCGATGCTATCATAATGAACATGAGACTGGGACAGTCTCACGTTCCTATACGAAACATTAACATTCATTATGAGATCAAAGATAGAGTTTTGCTCTAATCATACTCCTTAATCCCCTCGATTGAGAGACTATGTTCCGGTACATACATGTTATCATGGCGAATATGAGGTGGGGATACTTTCTTGTTCCTAGACAAAATAATAAAAAATACAATCAAAACAACATACAATCAAAACAACATACACCTATTTTCTCTCTCTTTGTCTTTATTAAAAAAAAATCACCAAACACAGTTTTAGTAAAACCTAGATGTAAAATATCACAAATGTTATTAATTGAGATATGTGGAAAAAAATATGTAAATCATTTTTTTCTCTTTGTCTCTATTGTAAAAACAAATCACTAAACACAAGTTTTAGTAGAGCACAAATATGAAAAGTCACAAATGTGATAAATTAATATATGTGAAAAAAATATGTAAATCTTAACGTCAAGCAGAAGTTGTTAAGGTTGTAGATGACGAAATTAAAGGTGGACATCTCTTTGCAATAACATGCGTATAATCAACAAATTCACACAAGGTTGGATTCTCAATAGTGGTTATATAAACTATATGATTCATGGTCGAGAACATTTTAAAGAGGTAAATAAATTTGTTACTTCTAGTAAAAATTGACAACATAGAACAAGTTGATATGAAATGTATGAGAACAATTATAATTAAAAGTCATTTAGATGTCAAATTAATTTTTGATATCTTTATGTTTTTTATATTAATTTTGCTTAATTGTTAAAGAAAAATTATAAGATGAATTTCAAGCATAAACTTTATGTGATTAAATATGTAAATAATTGAAAAATATTCAATAAAAATGAAAGAAGATAAAGATATAAATAAAGAATAAAAAAATGTTGATATATATTTCTTGAGAAAGTTTGATGTCAAAGAAAATAGTAAAGTTGCATATGAAGAATCGCCTTCTAACATTTATCCAATGTTCACTGCTATCATGGAATCCATAATAAAATAAAAGTAGATGAAGTTGATAAAAAAATATATTGAAATTAAATGAAGAGATGATCCTATGTGATGTGGGCATAAAAGTCTAAAGCCATAAAAAGAAATATGAAGATCTAATTAAAAACTTAGTTGAACCAATGACTAGAGGATGAATTAGAAATGTCCAAGAAGCATTGAGAAGGTTAAGTTGGTAGAATGTATGGGAAGCTTGAAGATTTGAATCCAAAACAAATAGTTTATAATTTTCTTAATTTACCATTCAAACCAAATTAACTTGCTTGTAATTTTTTGGTTTTCTTTTTCTTTTATTTAAATTACAAACAAAGTTGAACTCTAACAAAACCTTAGATATATATTTGTTATTGTTGAATTCAAAAAAGAGGTAGCAAATTATTTTTGTCAAAGTGAGAATATCTCTCTGTTAGAGATTTTCCTTGCATTTTTAATTTTATCAAAAATTCACTAATTTTTATGGTAATCATCTTTAGGTTTATCAAACTTGGTTTGTGACATCTTTATTAACCAGGTTACTCTATTTTGTTTCTTAATCCCAGATTTATTTATTGTTTTATTCAATTCCAAAACCCTAAATATCAATTTGCCATTACTATTTTCCTTAAAATCATATCATTTGATATTCAGAGCAAGATTTTATTGCGTACATTTTCATCGATTTTGTTCAGTATTATTGTTCACGTCACTATTCTGTACAGTTTCACGTTGTTCAAGTAATGTTCACACTATTCGCATGATTGTTCATGCAGGGTTTATCATGCATTATGCATGGTTGACTATAAAATTTGAAAATAAAACAAAAAACGGTGATTTTTCCATTTTGATTTTGAATTTCAATTATATAAAAAAAAGTTTTAAAAAAATATACTTATTAATCTTTATATTTAGCACAAATCCCATTTCAAGTATCCTCTTTAATTTCATAAGTCTTACTTGTTTGTTGGTAGCAAAATTATTCTTTACTAGTTCTCTTTTTGCGGATACAAAAATTCTATTTTTTTAGTATTACAATTACTGATCTTAAAAGTGAATCACTAGTACAAAATTGGCTTCTAACATCGGTTCCTAGTAGCCTTCTACACCGATTGTAGAACCGATGTGAAAAGTCATCTCAAAGTTTTAGATGCACTCACACATTTTTTATTTTTTTTATAACCCCTCTCTATTTATCTAGAGGTCTCCCTCCCCTTTATATTATGACCTCTCTCTATTGATCGATGTCGTACACGGTCAAATAATTAAAACAGATAAATGTAGTACTAGGAAGTTTTTCTAGATCGTCTCCCAACGAATTACAGATCAAACCAATGTTCTTACACGAGTATGCAAATTAAACAGCAGAAAAATGGGTTTTGCATTATAATAATAATAAACAGTAAATTAAAGAAAATAGAATTTGAATAAAACAATGAGAAAATAATCGATTTCCTTATTCGAATGCAGTGTCACTTATCCTAGGTTACGAAATTAATTTGAAATTAACCAAGTGAAGATAAATCCCAAATTATATTCCAATGAAATTAACCAACTAAGTGAAGATTAATCCCAAATTAGATTTAACCTTTATTCCATTATGAAATTAACCAATTAAGCGAAGATTAATCCCAAATTTTCCTTAACCCTTATTCCAACATAAAATTAACTAACTAAGTGAAGATTAACCTCAAATTATCCTTATACAATTAAGCATTACATATATCACATAATCTCATCTCTAACACAGAATTAAGCAAATTGTGATATTAGTTTCGGTTTATTAAGTATAATCAGATTATAATTCAATATTGAGATTAGAAGATGAAGAGTTAAGAGAACAAACGAAATGAAATTGAAGAACAAAACCTCAAAGATCTACTTGCATTCTCCTCAGAAAATCAATACAAATATTTAGTTATTAGAGTTAGAGACTGATACTCCAACCAATATGCTACTAGGATTTGCTAATAATAATTTACAAATAAATTATATTTATATACAAATAAATATATATCCGTGTAAATATATAAATATAAAATATATAAATACAAATATATTTATATATTTTGATATATTTATATAGTTATATATTTATATGTTGGATGTGAGGGCGCGTTCGATGGTGAAAGTGTGTATCAAGTGAGTTTTCAAAATTTAATGACAGAATATAATCTTTATAATTTATTTATATAATGATATAAAGTATTTTTATTTTATTTTATTTTAATTTATTCTTTTTTATCTTTTTTTCCTTCTATTATTTAATTAAAATTCTTATATTAAAATAATTTTTTCAATATTAAAAATACTTAAATATTTATTTTTAAAATTATTTAATTTAATAAATTATTATAAATTAATCTAATTATGATTAAGGGTGCAACTATTCCAACTTGGGCGATGGAGGTTGATTCGCTGCAGTTTGGTTTGCGAGTGAGGGACACGAGGATGGGTGAAGGGAAATGGAGGTTAAGGATTCGATCGGGGAAGGAGATTGGAAGGACGGTGGTTTTCGCGACTGCGATGGGGACAGGGGAGTAGGCGAAGATGGTATTGGTGAGGGGATAGCTGGAAGTGGCGGAGTTGAGTTCTAATGGTTAAGCTGGGCATGACTGGTTTGCGGTGGACGATTGATGTGATGCGGTGAAGGGCGGGAGAATGAATTTGGGAGGTTGGGTCTTGGTAATGGCTGGAAATGAGGAGCAAGGGAAGAATGAGTGAAAATGGAGGTTCCAGTGGGGAGGCGAGCCTGTAAGGGAGACAGATGTAGAAAATTTGTCTAAATTTTTATTAATTATTTTTTTAAATAAAAAGACTTTCCACATCGGTTCAGCTCGAGAACCGATGTAGAAAGTACTTTCTACATCGGTTTCCAGATGAACCAATGTGGAAAGTCTTAAAAAAATTTCAAAATTGTCATCGAATCACTTTCTACATCAGTTCTTTAAGAATTGATGTAGAAAGTCCGATGTAAAAAGTATATTACTGTACTAGTGAATCTTGATGGTGAATTGTTTGATTCTTATAAGAACCTCAAGTAAAGAATGAGTGATAAAAGATAGTGTGATCATTGACAAAAGAGTCGTATTGAATGAAACACGAGAATAGAGTATATACACGTGAAAGAGTAATGTGAGGATAAACTTATTGTTATTTCTAATATGTTTGTTAAAACATGTCAAAGGAAACTAAATACTGGAATTTAACAAATGCAAGTCTTAACTCAATATTTGGATAGACTAATGAAACAACAAAATCATGAACTCTATGACAAATTTGACCAAATGGAGCAAGCACAAAAAAGACAATAATGAAAATACAAGAGGAGATAGGAGAAGAAGAAAGGAAAATGAGGAAGAATAAATACAACCTAGAGTTGATTCCATCAAGTTCAATATCCTAACATTCAAATGAATAAGTGATTTTGAAGCTTACTTGGAGTGAGAGCTAAAATTAGAACATGTGTTTACTTGTAATGAGTATAATGAAAAACAAAAGATAAAATTAACAGCAACTAAATTTTCATATTATGCGAAGAGAATTAGAATAAAGAACCCATGGTGAACTCTTGAAATGAAATTAAAAAAAATAATGAGAAAGAGATATGTTTCAACAAACTATAATAGTAATTTGCAACTTAAACTTCAAATGATGAATTAAGGGAATGAAAGTGTGGATGAGTATTTAAGAAGATGGAGGTGACCATGATTAAAGTCAATATTAATGAAGAGAATGAAACAACCATTGATAGACTTTTAGTATATTGAACTATGATATTAGAGATGTTGTAGAGCTACAAGAGTATGTTAAAATGAAGAATTTGTTGTATAAGACTGATCAAGTAGAGCAGCAACTCAAGAGGAAGAGAATCATGAGAATGACAATAATAATTCTAACTAGAGAGATAAAGTTATGAGAGATAAAAGAGTTTCTTCAAGTCTAGTCATGTCTTCACATGTGAAGTCACGTAACAAATCCAATAACTTATCACCTAAAAGGAAGATAAGTGAAGTGGAATGTTTGAAATGCATAGGGAAAAATACTATGTTTCAGAATGCCTAACAAAAATAATATGGTTGTTACCAAATGGAGAAATAGATAGTAAATTCTCAAGTGAAGATAAAGAAGAGATGTAGATAAAGTTAAATGCATTAGAATGTGATTTATTGATGATTAGGAGACTTATAGGAAGTAGAATGCAAGTCTTGAACCAAACTCAAAGCCAGAAATTTCGCTACTAGGATTCTTTCTTGTATTTTCAATCTTATCAAGAATTTTTCAATTCTTATAACGATCATCCTTAAGTTTGTTAAATTTTGTTTGTGACACATTCATTAACCAAGTTACTTTATTTTGTTACTTATTCTCATATTATTTGTTTTATTTGATTTCAAAATTTAAATATCAATTTTTTGTTATTGTTTTTCTTATAATCATAATATATGAGAGAAAAAAGAATTACACACAAATAAAAAAAAGACGAATTAAAAAAAATGAGAAAGAAAAAGAAAATAAACATAAATTTAAAATTTAAGTAAACAAATATTATAGAATATAAAAATTTCGAAAATGTATGTTTTATTAATTTATTTAAATTAGATCCTAAAAGGTTTATAATATTGTTTTTATAAAGGATGATAAAAAAATCTTCTATATAATAATATAGATAAATATGTTAAAAAATAGTTATAAATAAAATTATTTTAAAAAATATAAAAAAGTTATATAATATAAAAAATAAAATAAGAAAGATAATGTATTCATCAATATACTCATACACATAGTATTGAAAAACCTTTTATAAATAAAATTAATTTAAAAATAGTTATGTAATATGAAGGATAAAAACATGAGAAAATATGTAAAAATAAATAAAAATATCATCATTTAACAAATTATTCTAATTTATATATTTATAAAAATAATAAAATATATAAGAAAGAAAAAAAATACATAATTAGTAAAAAAAGTAGATACATTAAAAAAAATTACAAATATTTTAATAAAATTAATTATACAAAAAATATTAATATTATCTTTTTAACCTCTTTGCTTCTACTAGTATGTTCACTCTTTTAAAAAAAATTACATAATTATAATTAATTTTTAAAAATAACGTTAAAAATAATTATAAATAACCTTTTAAAAAACTAATAATTACATAGTATGAATAGTAAAATGAAACGGAAGTACATCAGTTACATTATCGATTCTCTTATATTTTAAAAAATATATAATTGTTTTTAAAATAGTTACATTATATAAGAGGTAAAAGAGTAAAAAAATATATATATATTAAAAAACAAACTGTTACACATCCCTTCATAATATAAATACAGATACTATATAAAAGTATATTCATTTTATATTTATATTTAAGTAAAAATATTAATATATTTTTTATTCGTAGATACAAATATATCTGTATAAATAAACTTGTCAAGATAATATTATTAGTATTAACAAATATATAACATACGTAAATTTATTTAATAGTAAGTTTCATTTCATACATGTATATTAATCTGATTTAAAGAATTAATTATTCTTTAAAAGAAGTGATTGAATTAACTACAGTTTAGTCCAACACTTTTAAAGTTCTTCAAAGTTGAACTCTAAAAATAAAATTTATAAGTTTAAAATTATATTTTAAATTAAATTATCTTTGCTAGTATATTTTCAATTTTGAAAGAAAGAAAAATTAATAAAATCAGTGAATTAATAAAATTATTAATTTTTTTATGCTTAAATTGTCTTCAAATAAATTATGTAAAAATTATATTTAGGTCAGATAAAAAGTAATATATTTTCTAAAAGGAGTAAAATTGTTTAATAAAATTGATTCAATAAATTACATTATCCATTGTTTTAATAGGAGTAAAAAAATCATAAATTCCAATTATTTTGAAAGGAATAAAGTATATGCCATTGAAATGCACTAATTAAATACCATTATAGCCCCAAATCACGCATCTGAACGCAGTAAGCAACATTTAGATTTAATTTTGTTAAGTATCCTCTGACAAAATAATATATTAAACATTTAATTCAAATACAATATTGATACACCGATCTGGTTCAGGACATCAGACCCTAAAAATGCCTCAGGAAAAAATAACTTATATTATTATTCCTATATGTCTGCTACGGCCCTACCCTGATATTACATTAATTGAACGTGAAACTCAAATTAGTAAATAGTTTCGCAGGAATTAACTGAAGGTGTTGAATCACAAAATCTTCCACTTTCTCTCAAGGGCGCCAGTAATCCTAGTAATACAATAGGCAGCACTGAGAGGGTATCCTGAAACTGGAATCAGAAAACACAATGATGTAAGAAATAAAAATATCTTTACTAGTGCATGTTAAACAATCAATCAAGGTAGCATTCTACATATATACTATACACAACAAATTTTTAGGGGAAATGAGTAATCCATAGCTCAGGAGTATAAGGACCTGCAGCTTTTACTCTGTTTAACTACAATGTTTTAAACATTCAAATTCGGTTGAATTTAATTTATAATGTTGAATTGAAGGAAAACATCCGACTTTGGTTCTGTATGTGACAATCCTATGGTAAAAAAGTAGTTTATAGCACGTTTGGATATATGATTCCAACAATGCAAACTGAATTTCACACATTCCAAAGTATAAAACGGTGAAACAATTACTTCTATCTTTCTTATTTATGGTAAGTTTTGGTTCATTTCAACTGATAACCAACCACACTATCAAAAAATGCAATATAGAAATGGAATTGAAATACTGCTATGCCAACATGAACAGATCTGTGTATTTGTATTTGCCACTATTATCAAGGCTAGTCTGGTCCCACCATGCCTTTTGTTCACAAACCAGCATTTGGTGGTTAAATTGACACTATTATCTTACATAGTATAAAATAATGGAAGCCTGATGAATGGAGATTAGGTGGCCGTTAAGTTTTGCAAAATTTCATTAAATTTTTCATTCATTATTTAGAAATTTGAACAGACAAATATCAACAATTTAAATAATAATAAAAAAAAAACAGACTTATCAGATCCCAAAACACAAGAACTAAGTTTAATCAATCAACAAAAAAAAGCAATCAATGGGGCCAAGAGTGACTATACACAATTACTGAAAAGAGACTAGATAAAAAACATGTATGGATAAACGTACTTGCTATATAATCTTCAGTATAATCTGTCTCAATCTTCCCATGGGCCATTGCACCTACCTGAAATTAGGATATATTAATTGTTAATTAAACACTTAATCAGAAAATAAGTATAGAAATTAAAAGTCCAACTTGTTAGAGTACCACAAAGACAAGGTCCACATTGCTGGAAATCGTTGATACATAGTCATCCATATCTACAAGCTTTTCTGAACTATATGATAAACCTGACATTCAACAAAGACAACCACTTTTATTATAATGAATATATTGATTAAAGAATTTATCAACAGAAAAATTAAACACAGAATTTAACAACAGGAAGCAGTACAAGAAACAAACAGATACCAGCTTCAATCAAGAACACAACAAAGCTACCTATTTTTCGCGAGTTAACAGGCAAATACTGGGTGACAGGGTTTTTGATGGTGCGGAGAAGTTTCTCGCGCTTGCCAACAGCAGATATGCTCAGTTTTTGAAGCAGTTCCACTGCAGAGTAATAAAATATAATAGAGTTTAAAAGCAACAAATGAAAGCTTATCACTTTTACTCGCAGAAAAAGTGAAACCTAGGAAATAAAAATAGTTAACTAAAACTTACACATAACACCCGCAAAACGTTTGAATGTTCTTGGAATACGAACAAAGGGCTTAACCTCTATAAGAACCCCTTTCTCGGTCCTTATGTAAACTGTTCGCAATCTCCCAGCTTTATTCAGTGGGCTATCCAGAATAGATAGGAGAGACTGAAAACAGAACACCATTTGACATATAATTAAAAAAAAAAAAAGACGACTGAATCCTGTATAACCTCAACCAAGACCAAGTAATTTCAAAAACAAAATTCATATAAGAGAGTGATGAATATGGTAATATATTTGGAGGAAGCTTTACCTGATGAGTAATGTCGGGCCTATAATCTCCAGGATTCTTGTTATTTTTGCGGAGGAAATTGGCATGGTCGTCGGAGTTCAAAAGCTGATATGTCTGCAGATTGACAAAAAACCAAAGAAAAATAATTGAATGAGAGTTGAAAGTACAAAGGAAAGGGGGAGTGGGATATAGAAGAGGAGGAAGTGGAATACCTTGCCGACTTTGGCGACTTCCAGAGAAGCTTTTTCGAGAATGAAGATGACGTTAGGTTTGTTACTGTCTTTTTCACTGGGCGCAATTGGGATGCCGCTCAATTCATCCTCTTCCGCTGATGCTGTTTCTGGTTCTGGTTCTGGTTCTGGTTCTTCCTTTTCTTCCACCACAGCTTTCTTTGGTGGCGGCTGTTGGTGTTCTTCTTCGGCGGCGTCGTATTTGGGTTGGCCGTGTTTTCGCTTCCGCCCCTTCACACCGAAAGGTCGTGTCATTGTCTCAGCCTCAACCAATTTCAATTCTCCAAACACTAACTACTTCTTCTAGGGTTCTTTTGCTTTTGCCCTTGCTCAAAAGTACACTATGTAAACCTAAACCCTGGTCCTATGCAGATTTGATGATAAATTTATAACCGTTGGATATTTGATAATTTGACTATAGATAGACCTATCGGTTTGTATCTCATGTTATTATGCCAATTGGTGTTGTTAAATAAATAAAATATAATGTTAACTTTATTAGATAATTTCTTATCCTAAAAATTTAAAATTTTGATAAAAAATCACATTATTTTTATTCATTAATGATAGTTAAAGTTTTAATATTTATTATTCTAATATACAAATTATATTTCCTTATTTACAATGGAACAAAAATATTTACATCTTGTTTTTAAAAGTGATTCTAACAAAATTTAAATATCTCGTTATAAGATTATTAAAAAAACTAATATGTCAATCATTAATATTTATTGATAAAAAAATAAAATTTAAAGTAAAAAAAAATGAAAAATAGTTGTGGAATATATGCTGGTGTAGTACACACAACACATCGAAAAAAAAAGTATTTTAGCACTAAAATTAAATAAAAGATATTTAATTTTGTAGTGGAATTGATAGAAAGTTATTTCTTAGAAATACAAGTTAAGCAAAATTTATTCCGATAACTGATATAAATATCTTATTTCGAAATTATATGTTGATAAAAGTTATTTTAAATTAGAAAAGATGCTATTTAACAAAATTTAACTTTAAAGGAAATTACAATACAATTTTTTATATAATCATCATTGTTTTAAAAAAATCATGTTTGAAATATAATAAATTGGTGAATATATATATATATATATATATATATATATATATATATATATATATATTAATGAGTGAAGTCAATAGGATTTAGATAGTTTAGTAAGTCCTATTAATAATTTTTTAAACTTTATTAAATTTCAGTAAGTCCTTGTATATTATATGTTGAATTTCAAAGAAGAGACTAGTGATGAATCAATCAAAAGCACTTTCCCTAGTTTCAGTTTAAAACTTAGAACAATGATATATGGATAATTAATTGTGAAAATACAACCATGTTATATTAATGTAATAATAATAATAATAATAAAGTAAAATTATAATTAAAAATAATAATAATAAGTTATCAATTGATGGTATAAGATTTTTTCTTTTTATCCAAATCATTATAGTGAAATTTATGTACAACTTGTTGGGTTTTATGTTTTATAGTGTAGTTCAGCGAGAAAGAGACGAATATGTGAATGAATTTTGTTAAAATTTATTGATTTGTGCATAAATAGAGGAGATGAAGGAGTGAAATAAGAAAATAATATCTTAACTTAAAAAAATTTGAGAGAAATATTAGAAAGTGAATTTTCTCCTTCAAATTTTTATCAACCTTCTTTCTATTATAGTTTGTTCTATTTTATCATTTATAATCAAATTAATTTTTTCATATAATCAATATAATAAATATAAATTAAGAAAAATTTATATAAAAAATTTCAATAATAAATTAGAATGTGATTGATAATTTGTATATATATATATATATATATATATATATATTTACATTTAATTATAAATCATTTAAAATTAATTAAAAACTATAAATAAATAATAATATAAATTTAATCATTTTTATTTTAGAAAATATATTTTTATTTTAAATTATAATAATAATTTTATCAAAAGGTAATTTGGTGATCTTTGAATTTTTCTATTAAGTTTTTTTTATCATTCCTATCGATCAAATCATCACAATTTTTTATAAATCTTTCTGTTAATTTCCTATATTTCCTACTATCTTTTTATTAATCAAACAATTTCACTCTCTGTCTCTCGTTCTCTTTAAATTTATTCTTCCTTCAAATCTACCATCTAATCCAAACTAAGGCGAATTTGTTTGTTTTTTTTAACAAAGGTAGAAGAATGTATTTTGATAATGTTTTAAAGCATTTCGGTGACTTAAACTTTCAAAATACTGAAATGTCAGTTTCAATTATTTTCTTGAGAGACTATACCAATCATGGATTTGAGCTTTATGCAAAAAGACGGTTTTTTTAACAATAAAATTCAAGTTCAGTTTTATCTTTCTATTAAGAATAATTGGAAGATTTAAAGGCTAAGAGGTCGTTAATAAATTGAAATTAGTTAATATATGAAAATAAATTACTTATTGATTATATAGGTTAGTATATTGTTTTTCTATAATTTTCATATTTTTTTCATTTTTTTATTTATAAGCAATTTGTGTATTAAAAATGTATTCAAATTTAAATTAGTGAGAATTAAACGAGTATTTTTATATCTATTGAGATTTCTTTTCAAAATCTTGCCGTGAAATTAATGACTTGTAAGTGATTTTTCATTCTTATTTACCATTATTTTTGTGTAATAGTTGAGTAGAGTTGTTGAAAATAAGAAATGTATGTAACTTATTCTGTAACTTTTTTGCTATAAGCTTATGTATATACTTTGTTTTATATGAGAATTTGTGAGGGAAAATGGCATTTAATTTACCATTACTATCAATGATCCTATGCTTTAAGAAGAGACCCTTTCCGTCGCGTCACTTCGTAATTAAATTAAATCTTATTTTATTTTTTATATATCTTTATGTTTCTAAGTGCTTATTTCTAATGCTAAATTTTTAAATTTCTTATTTTTAAATCTTAGTAAAGCATTTTCAATTCTTCTATTATTTATGTTAGAAATAGATACAAAATTCTAATTATTTATCACTTAATAAGAATTTTCGCCCAAAACACGTTTTATAGTTATAGAAAAAAAAGTCTAAACATATTCAGGAAAATGGGTTTAAGTATGATTTTTTTTTCAAAATGTATTTTTTAGATTTTTAAAAAAAATTCTAAAACATCTCATTTTAATTATATTTTTGAATTAATTTTTTATTTTAAATGCATTTCGGAATTAATGTTCTATAATGATTTTTTGAAACATTTAATAGATATATAATATTAATTATTAGATAACTTAAAAAAGTAAAAAAAAAATTTAAATAAAAATGATTAAAAAAGATATTTTAATTATTTTCCTTGAAATATGGATTTCCATAGAAAAATTACATGTTTCAGGAAGGCAGTGCCTTCCAAGCGTTATGCCCCCTGCCCAGCAAAAACAACGAAGAGGCTGTGGGCCCTCGAAAACAGCAAAGGAAAGCCCAAGCCCTATTCTGGATGAAGAACTTAGGACCCATTCTTCTTTGGTATATTCATCTGTATTCTCACATTCATAAGATAAGATTGATTTTATTATAAAGTAGATTCTGAGTTTCAGTTTTCGGAAAATGTGTTGAAATGGCTCTTTTGGAAGCGTTTATTTTTATAAATATTTTAGATTTCATATTTCTAGATCTATTTATCTAAATTTTTGTCAAAATTTTTAATCTAAAATATATGAAGGAAAAAATCATAATAGTTAATTTTTTTTTTTAACTTTATTATTTTACTTGATGAACTAGAGTTCTTTTGCCATCTTATTTACTTAACACTGTATCAAACAATTGGTGTGCACTTAGTAAAAGTTTTTAGGCAATAATTTGAACTCATTCCTAACTTTTTTTACAGAAATCTGGTGCGTGTAGGTAGTGTGGCGGTTGCTAATGAAGCTCCGACTTGTTCGCGCGGCGCTGCCCGCCCCAGCCTCTACCATCCCTTCTTCTCTCTACAGACAGTTCTCCGCGTCCAAATTAGACGAGGAAAACGATGGTCATTTTGTGTCACTCCTTTGCGACATCGTTCGAGGAAAGCAGAGTTGGAAGGTGGCTTTCGACGATCCTTCAATTTCTTCGGCATTGAGGCCCCATCACGTGGAACAAGTCTTGATCAACACCTTGGACGATTCCAAGTTAGCTTTGAGGTTCTTCAACTTTCTGGGTCTGCACAAAAACATGAACCACTCCACAGCCTCCTTCGCCATCTTGGTCCACGCGCTTGTTCACTCCAGACTCTTCTGGCCCGCTAATTCCCTCTTGCAGACCCTTCTCCTTCGTGGATCCCCCCCAAAATACGTTTTTTCACATTTTCTACACTGTCACAAGCGATGTAAGTTTTCGTCCACTTCGGGTTTCGATTTACTGGTTCAGAGTTTCGTGCTAAGTTCACGAGTTTCTGATGCGGTGGTCGTTGTGAAACTCATGTTCGCCAATTCTTTGTTGCCTGAGGCTAGAACATTGAGTTCCCTCTTGAATGGGCTTTTGAGAGTTAGAAAATTTATAACGGTTTGGGAATTGTTTGATCAGTCTGTGAATGCGGGTGTTCGACCTGACCCTTATATTTGCTCCGCTGTGGTTCGTAGTCTCTGTGAATTGAAAGATTTTTTTAGAGCTAGGGAGAAGATTATGTGGATGGAATCTAATAGGTTTGATTTGAGTATTGTAACTTACAATGTCTTGATTCATGGGCTGTGCAAGGGTGATAGAGTTTTGGAAGCAGTTGAGATTAAAAGATCGTTGGGGGTAAAGGGCTTGAAAGCTGATGTTGTTACATACTGTACATTAGTGCTTGGCCTTTGTAGGGTGCAACAATTTGAGGTTGCAATTCAGCTTATGGATGAAATGATTGAATTGGGGCTTGCTCCATCCGATGCTGCTGTGTCGGGGTTAGTAGATGGATTGAGAAAGCAGGGAAAGATTGATGAGGCTTATGAGTTGGTAATTAAGATAGGAAGGTTTGGTTTTGTGCCTAATTTATTTGTTTATAATGCATTGATCAATTCTTTGTGCAAAGGGGGAGATTTGGATAAAGCAGAGATGCTTTATAATAATATGAGTTTGATGAACTTGCGTCCCAATGATATTACTTATTCCATTCTTATTGATTCCTTCTGCAGAAGGGGGAGGTTGGATTTTGCGATATCTTATTTTGATAGAATGATAGAAGATGGTATAAGAGAAACTGTATATGCCTATAACTCTTTGATAAATGGCCAATGCAAGTTTGGAGATTTGAGTGCCGCCAAGTCTCTGTTTACTGAGATGATCAATAAAGGGGTGGAGCCAACTGCTACAACTTATACATCATTGATTAATGGTTATTGCAAAAGCCTGCAACTACCGAAAGCATTCGAGCTATATAATGAGATGATTGAGAAAGGGGTTACTCCAAACATTTATACTTTCACTGCACTTATTTCTGGGCTTTGCAGCACAAATAAGATGGCCGAAGCATCCAAATTTTTTGATGATTTGGTTGAAAGGAAAATCAAGCCAACTGAGGTGACATATAATGTTTTGATTGAAGGACATTGTAGGGATAGCAACATTGATAAAGCCTTTGAATTGCTTGAAGACATGCTTCAAAAGGGCCTTGTTCCTGACACATATACCTATAGACCTCTTATCACTGGCCTTTGCTCTACTGGTAGGGTTTCTAAAGCTAAAGATTTTATTGATGGTCTCCACAAGCAGAAAGTAAAGTTAAATGAAATGTGCTATAGTGCACTTCTACATGGTTATTGCCAGGAAGGAAGATTGATGGAAGCACTGAGTGCTTCTTGTGAAATGGTTCAAAGAGGAATCAACATGGATTTGGTTTGCCATGCTGTTCTTATCGATGGTGCCCTAAAGCAGCCAGACAGGAAAACATTTTTTGGTCTCATAAAAGATATGCATGATCAAGGATTGAGACCTGATAATGTAATATATACAAGTATGATAGATGCATACAGCAAAGAAGGATCTTTCAAGAAAGCTTTTGCATGCTGGGATTTGATGGTTACTGAGGAATGCTTTCCTAATGTTGTGACTTATACTGCTTTGATGAATGGTTTATGCAAAGCAGGAGAAATAGACAGAGCAGGTATTCTTTTTAAAAATATGCAGGCTGTAAATCTCCCTCCCAATTCAATCACGTATGGCTGTTTTCTTGACAATCTTACTAAGGAGGGAAATATGAAGGAAGCTATAGGGCTTCACCATGCAATGCTTAAAGGACTTTTAGCTAACACTGTAACATATAACATTATCATCCGTGGCTTCTGCAGACTGGGTAGATTTCATGAAGCCACCAATGTTCTTTCTGAAATGACTGAAAATGGTATTTTCCCTGACTGTGTTACGTATTCAACATTAATTTATGAGTATTGCAGAAGTGGCAATGTACGGGCAGCTGTTACATTATGGGATATCATGTTAAAGAAAGGTCTCAAACCAGATTTGGTTGCATATAATTTGCTAATATATGGCTGTTGTGTTAACGGAGAGCTCAATAAGGCATTTGAAGTGCGTGATGATATGTTGAGGAGAGGGCTGAAGCCAAGACAAAATTTTCGAGAATTGGAGAAGGGTGAATATAAGAGCACCAGTTAAATTGTGGTATAACACGCACAATACAAAGATTTAAAACCTGTATTATGGTTGTGACAGTATTGGAGAGCTCAGTGCAGCATTTTATTTGCATATTGACTCGGTCAGGAGAAGGGTGAAGCCAGGGCATAATATATAGAATCTGCTGAGGTTGGGTTATCTGGAAACGAGGTTGGTGCTTGAAGCAAGTGTTTTCTAAAGCCTGAAAACGTTGAAGTGTCGGCATAAGTAATCTCTATGATATGGTGTAGTATCCAAATCGGAAGAGACCGGTGAAAGGTTAGGTATTTGCAAAATTGAATAAATGTTCTATATTAGTATTAATGACAATTGATCAAACATCGTACATAAACTATGTACTATTCCTTCTGTAGAGGAAAAAGTAGAGCCTTCCAGAAGTGAATAAGAGCATTACCAAAAGCAGAAGTGGAGAAAAGAACAGGTCAAAAGATTGAAACTAGTTGCAAGGCCTGTTTCGTACGTAGGAAATGTTTGTGCAGCTTACTGCTATTTTCAATTTACTTACAACTGGAAGATGCTAAAATACTCTAATGCTAAGCAGTTAAGTTGGTGGTCATGATTGGTGATTGCATAGAGTGCCGCTATAGACTGCTTATGAAGCAATTGGTACAAAGTTTGGTTAGCTGATTGAACATGAAAACTGCATAATTTGTATAGCTGCATGAATGGTAGGTAGTGTTTGGCACAGTTTTTGAACTTCTCTACTACATAAGAGTAAAAGGTGAGTCAGCACATTTTTACCAATGAACAAAAGTTCAAAAGATAAAGCTTCTTTAGAAGGAAGTTAGAAGAGTTTCTATTTTTCAAGAAAGAAAAGAAACCTAAAAAGGTTAGTCCAACACTGTCTTGAGACACATTTTTTGACCAATATTAAATATTAATACTGCATTTTATTTTATGTAGTCAGTCACCAATTTTATTTTGATATTGCAGTTAAGTGATGTTTGGGCCAGCTGCGTTATGATTGATCACCTCTCCAGTCTGGCTGAAGATCAGAGAACTTTCATGGATATCTTGAAGTTGGCTTCAAGCAGTTGGAGATCTATGATTTGTGCTAACCACCACTCTACTTGTTCATCCACCACTGAACATGCTCCTTTTTGTTTAGTCACCATTCAACTTCCAATTTTCTTTCTCCAATCCCACGAAACTCTTTGTTTTCGCAAGTCATTGACAAATAGTAGCGTGTTTAAGGCCTGTTCCAGCCTAACAAGAACAAGGCCTTAGCTTTTGTGTTTGTGTATCCAATCAATTCTTTTATCACCTGTTTCTGAATTGTAGATTTTACATTTGGGAATGAATGAGGTTATCCAAAAATTTTACGAGATGCAGGAAGAAACACACTCCGTAAATAATTGCAGAAATTAAAGATGATAAAGTTAGTAGAGAAAGTGTAATTAAGTAATTAGTGACAGAAAAACGGATGAAAAGTATAATTAATCAATTACGAGGTCAAGGTCAAATCATTTCACGGTAAATTATTATATTATTGAGGAATTTTTAGAATTAACCTAGGTTGGGGAACTGTATTAGTTCATTTTAATCATGTTACTAATCACGGTTGCATTTTAGTGGTAAAATTTGACTTTTATTGCAATTATTTTATGCAGTGAAATCCAATGACTAATTTGGCTATAACTTGTCCACATTGCCTCAGTAAGGGAGCAAATTTTCTTATTCCAAATGGCACATCCGAATTTTATTTCGATGACTGAAAAATTCATATAACTTCCAAAACCAATCAGGGAACCACCATTTAAAAAGAATAAGGAAGCACCGTGAATAAAATTTAGCGCACCGACACTAGAATCACCTTAATATAATAACTCATACAAACTGAACATGATTCCACAGTTTTTATCGGTGGCATCTCCAAAGAGAAGTTTTGTCATCATCATCATTACTGTCAACTAAAGATTAATCGTTAATCCTTTTGTAGGCAAAGAACATGGTGAATCTTCATCTGGTCCATAATTAGTTGGGTATGCTTTTCCCATTCGGGGGTTCATCATAAACAACGCACCATGTTGATCCGACAGAAGACTATAGTAGTTTCAGTCCACCTGTTACCTCATCTACTACTTCAACAGGTCCTGTACATCAATATCATCTTATATCAAACTACTTCTGGTTGCATAAACAATAAATTCAAATGCTAAGATCCTATTTGATTTCAGAAAATGTTTTCTATTCGCATTTTAGTTTGCACTTTCAATTAAAAGCAAACAAACTTTCATTTTATTTTCTGCTTTCAAAGATTTGCATAGAAAACAATGAAACAGCTTTTTATTGTTTCTTTTTACTGTTTCATATATAAATCTTCGAAAGTAGACAGTAATTAAAATAGTATATTTGTAATTTAAAGTAAAAACAATAAATGATTTTTTATCCAAGTGAACAGATCCTTAAATTGGCATAACCAAAAAGTCTATTCACTAGAGGAGAGTATTACCAAGAATTGCCATCACTGTTCTGGAATCTATAACAAAAAAGGAAAAAAATGTAAATTAACTGTCATATGTATTAAATATATAAAAAAAATTATATTATACAGATACAAGTAGAATATGGATGAATAACCAAAGAAAAGCCAGTCATTTATCTAACTGGCTTTTCTCACGTGAGATAGAGACATTATAGACAGTCAGAAAGAACCAATTTAGCAGCTCTACTATTCAGAATGTGTGTATGAGCCAACATTTTCCAGTATGAATTAAACTTCAATATTAAAAAAAGCATCTATATCTCATCTCCGTCTTCATTAGATTCTAAAAGAAAAGAAACTTGGATACTTCAAAGATACTGGTGAAGCATCCAAGTGTATCCATATCATTTACATATCCAATACAGATACAAGATGCAAGCATCGAAGCTTCATAGATGGCTTCCATAGATACAATCACATATCACAACTTTAATCAAGATCTAGAAAATTGGCAAAAAGTGTGTGTGAGAAAGAGAAGATCCACTTATTCCAAGAGTATGCATTGCTTTTCAATAACTTGTTATGAATTGAAAGTTCTCATTAAGTACCTTCAGTTTACAAAATTTCATATAACTTGACAGCTAGTTCATACTTGATAAAAGCAACTGGATATCTTACGCAACTACATAATGTAAGTTTCAAATACTTACTTGGTGCAATCTGCGTTCTCCCAGCATCAATTGTGATATGGGTGGGTAAATTCAGAGATTTAGCCCTTTCCTAACTCATTAAGCAGCAATTTTATGAAAACAAAACCAGCTTTAGACAAAAGGAGTAATGCATAAAACGAATCAAGATAAATGGGAAGAAAAAATTGTAGCAATGCATGTCAGGGCAAATGATGGAAGAAGACAATGAAACCCAGATTACTTTAGAGAAATTAAGTTCAATCTACTTTTGAAGAAAGTCAATCAAATGATAGAAGAGGACAATGCAAACCAGACTATGGATTCTGTAGACAAATATAATACCAATAGATAATAATCTCAAGTATATGGTGCATTTGAGGATAAGCTTTGATAAAATGTGCCTTAGTGATATAAATTGATTTTCAAGAAGCTACTCTTGCTGGCTTCCAAGGAAAACATGAAACTATTTTGTCGGGAAACTATCACAATTTATATAAACATGTTTTCACTAACCTAAAAATATTTATACCTTCGGAAAAAACACAAACAAATGGCACCGCAATTTATATAAAATCAGTAGACAGAACAACATAGTGCAAAACTACTTGATTCTAACAATATATTTGCTAATAAAATATTAAAACTTTTTATGCTATTCTTTTTTGTTAACATCGAAGAGCTAGTAAAATTTGTCATCACAAGATAACTTCACTTTCTAACAAAGACTACCAAGTTGCCTTTATGTAAAATACAAGGCTTTTTTAAGTTAAAAAGTTAAGCATAACAGATAGAACCCTAGATTTCTTAGAATAATGTTGAAATAACACAAAATGTGTCATTTACTCTGATGAGTTTCAAGCTTCAGCTTGAACATTCCTTTCCCTGTACATTCATTCACCAAGCACAACCCAAATTGCTTACTACTACATAAGCTCTCATCTTGGGTCAAATCCCAGATATCATCTTTGCCTTATCAATATGTTTCTCAGAAAACTTGCCACAATATTTGAAGCTGATAGTAAGTATAGAAAACACTTCACATGTTTCATGTTTACAGACTATTTTCACAGTAAAGCCCAATTCCTGCCTTACTTTGATCTATGAACGCTAAATTCTTCTCTTATTGTCCTCCTTTACATCCATTCCATAAAAAGGATTTAGGGAGTTCCAATAAGTATAACTGACCCAAAATTTATTTATTTTTCTTGTTTCAATGGTTCAAATGTCAAAAAGGATGTATTTTCTATTTTACCCAGTTGCTCACCTTGACTTGCATATTTTCTCATATAATGGCCAGTGGTTCACTTCATGGGAAAAGGTGTGGACTTATAAGTTATAACTGTTGAGTGAAAAATAAAGAATTGAGATCTTCACCATTTCATAGTTCGTTTTACTATTACAATCTTAGCAATTGATTTTTCAATTAACAGTTATCTCCACACATTTATACTCAAAGGTGCACCCCTTTAACAGTCAAATTCTCAAACCTAAACTTGCAACCAAATTGTTACAAGTAAAAGATGAGCAAATTTACATCTGTGTTATTGAATTAAAGTAAATTGGTTTCCAATCGAATTTTGTTTTGACCAAATAACTGATTAATGCATTAGGAATTCTAACAACCCATTCTTTCTAAGGAATTCTTATAATACTCTTTATAATTGACTAAAATTCATTGAAACTACAAAATAATAAGTGAGACTCAAAAATAAGTAGTAAAACTCCCACAATTGTGATTTCAATAATTTTCAGCCAATAGTATCGAGTGTAAGAAAAGAGTGTTGCTAACATTTTTCTTAATGCATTATAGCAGGCAAGTACCCAATACAATTTCTTAAAAAGATTACACAAGAACTTAGCTAATGCATAAAAATTGCCCTAAATAACACTCACTTGCAAAGCCAGCATATCTTCTTCACTTTCAATTTTGACAACAACCTTTGGCTGCGCAGACATCTCCCACCTGGACATTGATATTGACAAAACCTTCAGAATGAAGGTATACAATGCAAGGTAAACTTCAAGTGCAACAAAATTACCGTGGTACCTATTCAAAGCCTTTGGTGCTCGGTGAAGGAGCTTTTTATAGAGACCTAACGTTGCATGACTACCAAAAAAAGACAGAGAAAGAAAGTAGCGAGTTTGAAGCATTTATCAACTTCTCATTGAATATTGATAACATAAAAGTTCATAGAAATGAAATGAGGACATAAAGATAAATGAAAAACAGAATAAGAGCTACAATCCAGTTCACAAACTAGACAACCATATTAATAGAAGACTCAAACTCTCAGCATATTAAAATTTTCAAAGTAAATATTATGAAACATTACACACCTGCATTGAGCAGCAATCTTCCCTTTACCCATTTTAAGATCATTCCTGACAACGAGAATCTACAGGAAATGGAACAATTTTTAAAGAAAGACATTAAGATTGAGTACATGGGTTTGGAGAAGAAAAAAAAAGGATTTTGAGGAGTACCATCTTAAAATCATCGAGAATGTCAGCTAGTTGTTCAATCTGAAGGGGGTCTTTGAGTTTGGACTTACTATTCCTCTTCTTATTGTCGCTGTCGTTGAGAAGTGAAGCATCGTTGTGGTTGGTCAATAATTTACGTGAGAGGAGGAAACGAGGGGGATACCGAGAACCAATGAAGTAACCTAAAGCAAGATAACCAGCCCCCACCAGAATGGCACTCAACCATGTCAGTTCCATCTATGATTCAACGTTTTAGGGTTTCAGAGAAGGGGAAGAACACCACTCAGTCTCTACGTTTTTTTCAGCAACTTAACCGGACAAATTGGTAAATGGTCAATTACTCATAACATAACAACTGCAGTTTTCTCTTAATAATTTGAGAAGAAGAGCCAAATCCTACTTAGGCTAATAATATATTCTTTTTAAAAGTCTCGTTCTGTTCTTTCCAATAAATAAATCGTTTATAAAAATTGTTTTAATGTGAAATTAATGCAATTTTCTTCCATTTAAGTAATTCATAAAGTAAATTTATATAAAATAGTATTTTTTTAATTTTTAAACAATCAAATTTTAAACAAATTTTTAATTTTGTAATTTTTTATTTCTAAATTTAACCACTTTATTTTAATATACCATTGAACAACCAATGTAATTTAAATGTTTTTGGAATTTTATTCTAATTTTTTTTATTTGAGAAACCAAACTCACATATTTATACACTGTTAATAACTAAAATGATTATTTATTCTACCTGATTATATCAACAATTTTTTCCTATTATTTATCTAAAACTTTTTTTTTCAATTAGCAACTAAAAATACCTGATCATGTTTGATCGACTTAAAAATGTTTTGTTTGATAAAGAAAGAAAACGAAATAAAATAATAGGTAAATTAGAGAATTAGAGAAAAAGATAAAAACAATAACAGCCATAGTTAGGTTGAAAATAAGTAAACAAGAAATAGAATGACAACCAACTTTTTAAGATTATCTTACTTAAAAATACTTTTTTATTTTATAAAAAAGTTCTAGAAAAATAGAAATAGAAACAATGTACCATCATAATCCATTACAGGAAAAATTAACTTGCTTGTAACACAATATTTTAGATTTTTAAACATCTTTATTAGTTTATTAAGTTATTTTGTTTTATGATACCCATATTTTTAGATAAACCTTACGCATAAATGTGTGTCTGGACACAATAAAAAATGTAAGTAGAGTGAGAAACATAAATCTATAACTATTCACAGAAACAACATAGAATCTAATTCCCAACAAACACTTTCTTTTCTCTAAATCAAATCACATGCTTATGGTAATTTTATATAATTTTTAACATAAATAATACCGAATGAATAATAAAAGTCTGAAATAAATTACATTTGAAACAAAAGTATTAACTAGTAAGTGTAGTTTGGAGATTTTTTACATTATCATAATTTTATTCACAATATAAATCTTGTGTCCTAACATAACATAGAACCTTACCTAATAGACATCTCTATTACAAGTTTGAAAAAATACCTTCACTCAGTCAATCATGTATTATATTTTTGTGCTGAGAAGTTGTTACCCAACATTTCTTATCTACTACGATGAGAATACAACACAAACGCCCATTATGGAACTTTCTCTGCCTTCTCAAAAACAGAAGGGTAATAGCATCTTGCCAAAGAACGGTGGCATAGTAAAAGAAAAAGAAGGAAGAATCATGGCCTAGGATGGCAACGGGAAAGGGTCCCTCCCCATTGAAACGAGAATGTCCTTTTTTCAATTCAATGAATCTCCACCACAAATCATGTCTGGACAAGAAACGGTATAAAACATTGAAACGTGTGCGTTAAACATCCAAGTTAAGTTACTGATCCCTTCCAATGTACTCAAGTGAAATTTAGAATATCAGGAATACCAGTAATACTAGGTAGATGGTTTAACAACATCAGAAGTAGCTACATATAACCAAGCATCTTATACTCTCGTGCATATATTTCGCTTCATTCATTTGTTTAGGAAATACTATAAAAGTGAGAAATCTCTGTTTCAAATTCATCCTAAAACCAAAGATACCGACAAATGAAAAAAAATAAAAAAAAAAGGCAGTTAAAGAAATGTGGTGCAAAAAACTGCGGTGGCGGGGCACCACATCCTCAATTCCCCATGAGATCTGCTTTAAATTTCATTTAATCTTAATTATGATCATTAATAATAATGCAATTATATTATCCACTGTACCAGATATTTTTGCTTGTCCATGCTTTGCGTTCACATAATCTGGACAAGACTATTGAGCAGACAGAAGCACGTGCTATCTCCCATGGGTACTCTCAATCAACTTTTCTTCTTTCGTCGAAAGTGCTGAACAAATTTACGACAAAGTACCAGAACCCTCCGTAGGGACCAAACAAACAACATTTTCTTCACAAACAAATAAAATACATACAAAGTACAACAATGAAAAAAGAAACACAAACAACATTTTCTTCACAAACATATAAAATACATACGAAGTACAACAATGAAAAAAAAGAAACACAGATCACTGTTCGTCCACATCTCTCTTGTTAGGTAAATAAGAGAGTCATCAAACTGAATCGTTACCAATTGCAGTTTCTGATTACTTCATTTGTAGTAGTAAAAAAACGTTGGTTAATATTCATTCAATTTAAAATTAGAAATAAAGAAACGTAGATCGAATTAGAAATCGATGACGGAGGATATAATTAGGTGAATAATAAACGTCCTACGGTTTTATTGAAGGTAGCTCATCATTTTTGTTTTATGTTACTCATGACAGACTCCATTCACTCTATGACCACATACTGATATAAGAAAGGAAAGGATTCAAAGGTAAGGGTTCGAAATGATCCATAACACCACAATCCCCTATAAGACGAGAAAAAAGGAAAAACGACACCAAAAACACGACACAGATTCAGAGCCACCAGCACATAGATAACCGCCTCGGGTCAACACCGTCAATCTAAGACAGTTGACCGCAGTCAGCGATGGCGACCGGCCTCGCGGTCTTGCCGGAGCCGGATCCGACCTTCTCGATCTCCTTCACCACGTTCAGTCCATCAACGACCTGTCCAAACACAACGTGCTTGCCGTCGAGCCAATCCGTCTTCGTCGTGCAGATGAAGAACTGAGATCCGTTAGTTCCAGGACCGGCGTTTGCCATGGACAACACGCCGGGGCCGGTGTGCTTCTTCACAAAGTTCTCGTCGGCGAACTTCGCGCCGTAGATCGACTCACCACCGGTGCCGTTTCCGGCAGTGAAGTCACCTCCCTGGCACATGAAATTCGGGATCACACGGTGGAAGACCGAGCCCTTGTAGTGAAGCGGCTTGCCGCTCCGGCCTACTCCCTTCTCGCCGGTGCAGAGGGCTCGGAAGTTCTCAGCGGTGCGGGGAGTTGTGTCGGCGAAGAGCTCAAACACAATCCTACCGGCGGGTTGGCCGCCGATGGTCATGTCGAAGAAGACTCTAGGGTTTGGCATAGCTGCAGATAAGGGAACTGAAGCACGCAGTGAGGTAGTAGAAGAGGGATTAGGGTTTTTGGTTGACATTGAGATTGACGAGAGACAGCAATTTATAGTGGCGCGTGATGATGAATGCGTCCGCAAGTGACCGTTCGATTGGGACACGTGGCGGATATGAGTGAAGTGGAGTAACTATGGTTGAGTTTGTAGTTGACTAGGGTTAGTGAAGCGGATCCTATGTCACGGATATGCTCTTGTCATTATGCCAATGACTAACATGCGTGTGGACTTTCTTCATGCCACAACAAACGACGCCGCTTCGGGATTTTCAGTTAATGTGCATTTACTTTATTTTTTAAAAGAATAACTGTTGATAATATATCCGTTGCGTGAGAATTTTTTTATTATTTTATTTGGTGGAGATCGCGTGAGAATTAGTTGATGTGAGAAAAGGGTGACACCCAATGAATGTGGACAAGGATTGCTCTTAGGAGGGATCCTCATTCTTTCAAAATTGGTCTTTGTCACCTCCAAATTAAGGAGCTTCTTGTTAGATTTTTATAGCATAATTTCAACTAGTTTTCTAAATTAAAAGTAAAACTTGCATTATTTTTTATTTATAAAATGTTAAATTAAAATAAAAGCATTACATTTAAATTTCTAATGTTACATGCATTATAGTGTTAAGTCAATCGAGTCCACTTTAATTTCTAATATTACATGAAATGTTATTTACCTTATTGTTATTGTTTTTTTTTCTTTATGACAAAAAGATATGATATAGAGTCAATAACTGTGGTTTTTTATATATAAAATCAAATATTAAAATAAAAATTTGGAATATAGGAAATAATAATAAAAATACTTATAATCGCGAAGAATAAAGAATAAAGTAGAAGTTTACTGGTTGTCAAATCAAATAAATAGCCAGATATATCTTTTTTGTTTTAATCAGATATATTTCCGACTCTAGAAAAAAAAATGCATGAAAGTTAAATGGAAAAGGCAAAGGCTATGAAGAGGTTGAGGTGGTACTTTTTGGTGTGTGTGGGGTTTAAGGAGAGGTGTGAAAGTACTTCGTTCATGGATGTCCCTCAACAACACTTTATTTATTTATTTATTTTAAAAAGGCCGAAGTTTATAAATAAAGTCATATCAGTGATGCTATTATCACACAATATCTGGAATGTGAAAAAAATTGTTTTTATAATAATAATGAATTGAAGATTTATTCAAAGCTTTTATAAATTTATGTGTTTAATAAATATTATTTTTGTACTATTCATTTATTACAAATTATTATAATTTGTTTCAAAGTAGAACATTTTCATTATTTGAAAACAAAACTTATCCATGTAATTTTTAATAAAAGAAATAATCCATTTTCAAAATTTTGATTAAAAAATTCAATCATAAATGATCCGTGAGACATGAATTTATGTTAGAAGTGCATTAAAAAGTTAGAATGGGTTAAACAAACATGTGACATATTTTTCAATTTCAATAATTTTTAGATGAAACAGCTACGTTATATATTTTCATTAATTTATTGAAAATAAATTCAGATGATTAGCCACAGTACTACTACCCATCTCCCAGTGCAGGACAGAAAACTTGAATGAAGAACTCGTTGCACTATACTAAGGTTCCCAGCAATCGTTGCAGAAGGTTACTTAATCACCAAACAATTTAAAGCAAAAACACTTATCCCCTATTTTATTTATATTTCTGTTCTGAATTTATCTTCCCTTTTCTGGTTACTCAATCGAATAATTGTGATGCTGGAAAGATGCAGTGCTTTATTGCTTGGCCCATTTGGTCCATTCCATTGGAAACAAATATGACTAATCTCCGGACTTCTGGCGTTATTTTTTCAATATATAAAACCTGATTATTTACATTTAGGTTTTCCTCCTTTACTTTTAAAAATTAAATACATTATCAGTATAATTCATTAAATTACAAATTTATACAAGATTATTGACTTATAAATATTTTGAAAGTCATGAACAATTTATAACTAATTAACTTTAAAACTAGAACACTAATTGATGTTTGAGATTGAAAGAGAAAAGGAATTAATAATATTAAAAAGGCCTATTGTGTAGCCTAAGTTGGGAAAAAATAGCTGGGCTTATTTTATTTATAAAAGACAATTTGATAACTCTAACTACTTCTCCGATTTATATATAGTATTTTATTTCAGAGGACAGATATTGAAAAAATAACAAGGGCAATGGAATCAAGCACAGGTGTTACAGATGAATGTAGACAATTTTTACCACTAAACAGGTTTCGCTTCTTTTGAGAAATCCTCCAAAAAGACTGGTCAAAAAATAAGTATGTATATTTTATTTCACCTATAATTAACTTATGCAGTAGAATAGGAATGCCTCACGCCTGGCAATGCCGAATGAACAAATGAAGTGACAATCGCCATCTCAGATTAGGATTGTGCCTGTCATATCAGTTCAGTACCCAAACTTGGGGAGTTAAATCTTTTATACACTACTTTCCCAAAAAAATATATCTTAAATAATTTGATCCATGATCTTCATATGGTAAATAAACTGCGATTCCATTTGCATTGTAGTCCACTTACAAGAAATTTCGAACTATGGTTGAATCAGTATGTGACCTCTGTTGCAAAAATTGTGTCAAAGTCATCTTCCTTCTGAATAGGTCCTGATCAAGCGGAACCGAGACAGCATTGGGCATAATCACCATCACCCACTCACCGTGGCACGGTACGGGGACCGTCACTAAAGAATTAATATTCGACCGACAATCATGCAACACACAATAACCATGATTTATCCCCTTGTTGATGAGTGGCGACAACCTTTTCTCCTGAAAAAGAGCAGGATATAAGTAAGTATGGTAGCACAAAGACTGGTCAGAAAATATAATCTATTTATAAATAAAACACAAGGAATACATAGCTACATAGTCAAAGAAGACTAACTAATTGGCACTATGAAATTCTGTACAATTAATAATGTGCTATTTTGTCAACATCAAATCTTATATGAAATTCTCTGTTTGCAGCAATCCAGGATAGACACAAGATATCATCTGTTTTAGAGAGTTGCGAGATGCTTTTAGAAAAGCATGACCCTCCAGTGCTGCACAGGTCATCAAGAAATATTCAGCATTTCAGAAGACAGATATTGAAAAAATAACAAGGGAAATGGAATCAAGCACAGGTGTTACAGATGAATGAAGAAAATTTTTACCACTAAACAAAGATTTCGCTTCCTTTGAGAAATCCTCCACACGCCCTAAGACAGGTCTTATGCGACAAATTTGCAGAACACAAAGTTCTATGTGCAAAGCCATTTCAAGTATTTGCAACAATAAGTTGCACACACCCTGTACTTCTGGAGAGACCCTTTGTTTGTTGGCTTCGCAGAGTTCTGTGGTAATGGCAATAGCTTGATCCTGCACCCAAAAGAAAATGAAGCCCAGACAGACATTCAATTATTTGCTTTTTGGATTCAGGCACCCCATATAGAAATCATTTTTGGCATAAAGCACAGCCTTAAAGCTCACCTGTAAATCAAACCATTGATAGATCTTTACAAACTTACTAAATTTGTGCATATTAAAAAACTGTAAACATTATATGCGTGAATTGTTAAGTTCACGGTACCTGTAGTCCGTGCAAGATTTCTGGCATTGGAAGCTCAGGAAAATGTGCAAGATCAACAAACCCAACCTCCTCAGCCCTTTTAGCAGCACCCTCAGTTTGTAAACAGAGAAACTTTAAAAGAAGAAATGCTATTCTATATACCTGCAGGGCAACAGTGTCAGAGAAGCATGATTTTGGAACAGGATCAGTACTCTCAGTTGCTTGACCATAGGTAGATAATGCAGTTGAGAAAGAAGGGATCTTTGGTTTTGGCACACATCCAAGTGGGGAAAGAGCAAACCATCCATTTTTGCTATTAACAAAGGAAGGTTTTGAACAAATTTCAAAATCCTCTTTCACAGAAGGTGGACATAAAAGTGGAGCATTCCTGCTTGACAATTCCCCAAGGCGTTGAGATCCCCTGCTAATGAAGGCTAAAAGATGGATACACTTTTCTCTAAGCTGTCTATCCACATTTCTTATTGCCTTAATCCATGAATTCCAATGTTTTGCTAGCTCACACATGAGCATTAAAGTATGTTCTGTTTCTTTAAGAGTAGCTAAATAAATCCATGCCCTCTGTGCCCGAGGTCTTTTCTTGTCATGATCACCAGAAGGGAAGTCTGGGGCATTTAGAGAATTAAAAATAAGACGAGCTTTCTCTGAAAAAAAGTAAGGTATCATGCTGTCCACAATAGCAGTTCCAGAAGAATTGTCTCCCAAGGATTTAACCATAGCTGTAACCACAGCTAACCCGAGCCCCCAAATATCCTGGTTTGTTACAAACTTCTCGCATGAGCCACCCTTAGTCTCACTTCCAATGCTTGAGAAATCCTCACTAGACTCAGAAAAGAGCACTCTTACAGATGACAAAAAGCCAGAACAAGAAAGCATCTCAGCACCTCCTCTAACTCGTGCAAGGGTCAAAAAGAACTTCATTATTATTGGAATAGAGGTAGAATTTCTATCATGGAGTTTAAGCATAACTACTGGCAGTTGGAGATGATCCTGAAGGACAGGTAACCATGTTCTGGGTGTCAAGAAGTTTCTCAGTATTAAATCCATAACTGACAGGGATAGCATGCAATGCTCAGAAGTCGCAATGCAGTTGCAAAGAATGGGTAGTAGTCCCAGGGTTGCATTTGAGACATTTGAGAAGTCCTCACCAGAACTCTCATTGGCTGCCAGGCCTGAATGTGCATTAAGGGAGTTGGAGTGTAGTACTGAAAGCAGCAAAGTGAGTAAAAGTTTCATGATCACATTAGCCTCAGAAGGTAACGGCTTAAGTGAATTCAATAGTCTAAGACCTGAACTGGCACATTTCAAAACAAGTAGGGATACATTTAACGAGAGGCTTTTACTGACAGTTCTTGTCAATTGGAAGAGTAATTCTACTTGACATGCAAGAAAATTGAGAATGTCCTCAGAGGCATCTAGGACAGATGATAATGTCTCCATGGTCGCAAGGAAAGATTGGCATATATTATCCATGAAAGTGAATATGAGTTCATCTGAGATCCTCCCTCCAGCTGTCGCCCTCCCTTGTGACTGCAGGTCATGTGAAAAAATAAAACTGAACAGAGAGAAGCCAAAAACTTCAATGCATTATCTTGTTCAATTGTTAACAGATACCAAACATAAAGTATGAACAAAATTGATATGGTACCTTTTTAAAGTACTTCCTATCTTGATGCTTGCAGTCAAACAATGATAATTATAGAGCAAAGAATCAGAAGAACAATTCCAGCATAGCATAAAGGATTTATTATGAGAAGAACAATTTTTTAATCAGCCCTTGACATTTTTAGCATAATAAAACAATGAAAAATGTTTTCGTAAATATTGTTTATTGTTAAAACAGAAAGCATTTCAACCTATAAGAACCATGCATAAGCCAATTGCTGGTCTCAAATTCACAACCATGAGAAATTAATAACAGAATAGTTGGGGTAACCACATGAACATTTCAACATTTGTAACTTACAACTCTAATTCTAATATTATTCAGATAGGGATATGCAATGAAAGGAAATAAGAATAAATTCTCACATCATGGTTGACAGCCAAAACAGCTATTAGTCCTTTTAATGCAGAAAGCTTTGAACTTGACAGCAACATGACTGAGTTTGCATCCTGCAGGGAACGCAACATGGTTTCTGCAACCTCCTTGGATTTTCTCCAATTAGAACAATCCCACACATCTAATCTCAAATCTTCTCGCAAGTGAGCAAGGTCAAACAAGTACACATTCTTGGTAAACATGTTCGTTGTAAAATAGTCTTCATTGAACTGGTGTTGATAGGTTCCCATAAAATTTGATTCGACAAGATACTGAGATAATTCTTTGAATGGTCCAATACCAATTTTTCTCCCTTCAAGCTCTCCTTGCAAATGATAAAAGAGGTCATTGAGTATCAACCTCTTTAGTTCCTTCCCTTCACTACAAAATTAAGAAGAAAACCAATTTGTAATTGTACATTACCAAAGAAAATAAACATTTGTGTTGGTAAGACAGTAAATCCAAGAGATGAATCGTATGATGGGGAGAAAAAGTATGACTTAGACTCAAATTGAAAGTACCGAGTGTTTACTCAAAAAATGGTGTTACCTTAATTCTCAGTGTCCCAATTCTTTTTGATACAATAGAATGATATGGTAAGGTGTCTAGTCTTAGATTTCTGCTACTGATTATTAGTAATTATTAATGAGGGAATTAGTTAGTTGGGCTGAGATTATTGGAAGAATTACAACACGTTGCCTACAAATAAAAAGAGGCTGGGAGGAAGAAAATTGGGATTTATGGGCATAGGGAGAAATCCCTTATTAGTTCTAAATAAACTCGAGGTTACTATCATGGAGAAATCAATGTGTTCTAAATGTTAGTTGATTTTCCATGAAAAGGTCATGCATGACTATATGGAAGCAAAATTAATTTTTCACTCATGTTCTCCAACTCGGACACAAATAACATGTAATTGAAATAAAAATCCAATAAGTTATAACATGTGAAGCGAAAAATATCACAAATGGATAAGTTTATATAACCTGTAACCACGTTGTGAATACTGAGACATCAATTCAGAGAAAGCAGGATGAATGCTCAACTGCAAACATAAGAAAGTGTCCATACATTAAGAAAATGTTGACAAAATAGTAAACTAAAAGCAGAAATTACACATAAATTTTTTGCTATATGGATTTTAAAACCCTTTACCACATGAAATAGTGATAGAAACTAAGATCGAATTGAATAGCTAGGTATGTATCATTTAACAGATTATGCAGTAAAATAGTGATGAGCTGTTAGCTCTTCAGCAAACAAAGCAACCCCAGAGTCATAGACTCCTCGAGAGAGTAACTCTCCTCCAATCAGACCAACAATTGCCTTTTTCTCCACAAACTCCCCCTCTCTCATATACCCGAATCCCACATAATAGGGATTTCTTACACATCATTCCCATTTCCTGACTAACTTCTCACTCCTTCTTTACTTGACCCCACTTTCTTTCTCCTGGTATGAACTTTCCATATTCTAGGCCTAACTACCCCATCTATAATTGTTTCTTTTGGAGTAACAGGCTCATGCTCACTTCTCAACGTATGACCCTTATTTGGAGTCCTATCAAGTAGTAAATTAGATAAATGACTTTCTTAGAATAAATAGATTAGACATTTGAACCTTTGCCAGAATTTCATGAATCTTCTGAAGCAATAACACAGATAAACTTCCAGAGTCGCAAACTGCTAATTTCATCATCACATGAACAGAGAATAAACTGGTGGCAACCTGAAAAATTGCATGCTAGTACATATGAAAATACACACTACATGGCGTAAGTAAATAGAAAAAGAGAAGTTCATAATGTATATCCATAATTGCATCGTATACAATTAAAAGAATACTTCAACAAGAACTTTTATCTTTTGAATTACTTTATGCAAAAGACCATATTAGAGACTGAAAAGTAAAATCAGAAAAGAGTGGACAAGTATGGAATTTTGAAAATATTAAAAATACCTTGCCATGGCACATGCAAGGGATTGCAAACAAAAAAGAGTTGCTACAAAATTAACCCATCGATGGAAAAGACTTTCACACCCATTAATTCAACGAGGAAAATAACATCATGCTAACCTTTGCACCACAATATATATCATTATTATATCCACAAGAAGTGTACGACTTTATTAGTTTCTCTAAAATAGAGTCATTGAACCATGAAGACCAGATTCCCTTAAGATCATGAAGATTAGCGGATTTAGATTTCTCTGTTCCTGTGGCATTTTGCTCCTTCTCCTTGGATTCTGCTGCATCCTTCACAAGTGACTCTGCATGAAACAACTTTCTCTGCAAGAATAGTTCATATGCCATGATTCCTAGTATGGAAGATTGACAATGGAAAGTATATGCCAAATTGATAGCATCTTTTTCTTTTAAACTTGTATGCAAGGAAATTTCACTGTTAGCAATATTTGAGATTGCATTGGCTAAGTTTGCCCAGAACTTTCCATGCCTTCTTAAGGACTCCAAGAGATTGGCATATTGGGGAGCCCCTTGCCATAAGGCAATCATGAAGTTAAGTACACAAAGCAGTAAGCGGGGATTGCTGGAGACAGAAAAATACAATAAGTAACTTACACATATTTCAATGAGCATAACAATTGACCAGTAAAAAAGCACAAGCAGTAAGGACACAAACTAAGCAAAAACAGATACCCCTCCCCGCAAAAATATACACATTAAACAGTTTGAACCTCTTGATTAGATCATCTGCCCTTTCAATATAGTGCACGAGTGCATCAATAAGATTTGATCTTTTAGAAACTACATGCATAGGAGAAGTTTCCTTTTTTTGAAGTTTAGCATCACCAATGCTCAAGTGGTCTTCAGTGCTCTCTTCTGGAGCAAAGATAGCAACAATGAAAGAAGGCTGCAAAAAAGGAAATGTCAAATAAGAAAATGGTAATCAAACACAGCTTAATATGGTGAAAAAGTCACTTTGAGACCCCTTCCCCCATAAAATAAAATCAAAACTGAAACAGAGTTCTGACATAATAATTTAAATTTGTGTTGACATTACTCTAGGCTTGTCAAGATCTGAAACACCACATCCATGGTGAAAACATTTTGAATATTTGGCCAACAGTTAAAAAGATATTTGAGTACGAAAGTGTGAATGGCTGATAAAAAAACAAACATAAAATGAAATTCGAATATTAGTAATAACAAACTAATGTACTTTTAATCAAAAAACTTGGGAATGGCACACACACACACACACACACACACACACACACACACACACACACACACACACACTATATATATATATATATATATATATATATATATCCAATAAATAGAGAAACAAAACTAGTACAATCCATATAGAAATTTACAGAATAAAAATCTTGCTGTTAAAATGATGATAAATTGTATTGAGATTTTATGATATAATCAGACAGTGTTAGAATATTTGATTGATTTTATTATAATTATTTCCTTTTTTAATTGCATATATTTAGGGTAGTTAGACTGAATATCTAGTAGACCTTGTAATCAATGTAGTCAAAATCGCATTGCAACTCATAGAATCGCACAATTATGCCTGTCATTCCTTAGCAACTTCGTCCATGCTCAGAATTGCTGCTGAGCAGCATTGGTAAATACACAAAATCGTCAAAACGTGGAATGAGAGAGTTTGCTGAGTTTGCCTGGACAACGTTTTTGTGTGCCATCTTTTAGCAGTGGGTATTTTTCTTTCTTTCATTTTGGGCATCTGTAAACCTAAGCCTATAAAACCCAAGCCCCAAGACCAACTTTTCTTTGCATCTTCTTCAACCTCTAGCACAAAATCTGTCTCTTACCCAAGCCCCAAAAGCATTGAAAGAACCACTGCAACCAGAGCTCTTCTATGCCATGCTTGAGGTTGACCGACTCTATTTGGTTCCTTTACTTCTACTGCTCTGTTTGTGTGGTTCAATGGTTATTTTTATGGAAGAAAGGAGGACCTCTTGAGTGATTATGATTATCATTTGGATTATCTATTTTAAAGGTATAGTCTAGGTGTTCAAGTGTTGTGTTTTGTACTAGTAGTCCATTTGGCACTACTACAGTATTTTTAGTTGCTTTGATTGTTATTTATGATTTGTCAGTTGAATTTTGTATGGGGTTTAGTCATTGACTTTCATATGCTTATTAAGTTAAACTTAATTAAATACTTGGTGTGTTACATGGGTTTTTCTTCTTATTTATGTTATGTTTATATATATATGACTTTTATATATTTGTAGAATCTTAGCTTCATGTTACAATTTCATGATTTACGATCTTGTATTCTCTTTCCAAATCCTTTTGGAAATATTCCTTCCCTAATTTTGGAAATCCTTTTGTACAATATTTTTATACATATGATAGAGCAGGGAGACTTCTCCCAACCAAGATTAACACTCAAATCATGTTCTTTTCTATATCGGTTTTAAGTCTGATTCAAGTAACCTTGTAACTTCTCCATAAAATGTGAAATGCAATTTTTCAATGTACTATAAAAATTCAAACCTGGTAATGTGCAGCAGAAGTAAACAGATTAACTGTAGCAATAAATAGATTTTCATTTGACTCTGATTGCTCCAGCACAATGTAGCTCAGAGAATGTCTCAAATCCATGATCTATAAAACCAATTACAAAAAATTAATTAAGTTTAGAAGCTAAAAGAGAAATCAAATGAAGAAACAGAACTTAATGCCCAAACCTCATTATCAGGAACGAAGCATGTGATTCCATATGAAAATGGTTGAATACAATCTGCTATGGCAAATAACATAGAAATAAACCTAACAGCACCATATTGTATGGCCTACACAGACAATAAGATGTCGCTTATCAAGCAATGCAATAGAAAATCAGGTATTAACAAGTATATATTCACCTAGAGATGATAAACTAAGTGACAAATAATCTATCCACAGAGATATGTAGGACCCACTGTGGTATGGTATCAAATGCACTATGAAGTGCATCCTATATTTTATCAAACATGCTTAAAAAAAATAAGGTAATACAACACAGAAAAGAGAAAAAATAAACGGGATACACAAGTGTAAGTCTGTAACTTTGAAAATGAGAAAATCAGGCATAAGCTCCTAATACTAAACAGTAACAGAACATGTGACTAATTAAGAATATATGGAAGAGCTCACAGATCTCTAATGGAAAAAAGGGAGCACAGGCAGATGCTCATTATTGTTCAATAAAAACTCTCTACCACCATTGCAAGCAGGTGCATAATAATGTTCAGAAAAATGTAATGAGACTCCAATTTGAGCAAGGAGAGTATTCATACCGGATCTTGAAAGTATGAAATCAAAGACAAAACAGAAGTGAGCACAGGAACTGGTTTGGTCGTGCATGAGAAGACTGCTTGGAGAAAAACTGGAAAGTTCAATGAAGTATCCTGGAAATTTGAAGATATCACAGATTTATACACAGTAACAGGGAAAGAGTTTATATAGTTGCAAAACAATGTTTATAAACTTCTATGTATAACAATAAGAATTCAGTATTCCATGAATGTGAATGTCTGTAACCATATGTAACTATACAAACCAAGGATAGTTCCAGTATTTTTCTGTACCTTAGAAAGTTTGGTCAACATGACTGAAAGAATGTCTAAAACAGAACTGATAGCAATCTGTAACCCTTCAATTTCCATTGGATCAAAGAGGCGGCTTACATGCAATTTCTGTTCAAAAAGAAATGCTCTTCTGATAAGATGTACGAATAAGTAAAATAAGCTAACAAATAGATAAATAATAAACCCAAGAAGTTTTAACATATCACCTCCAAAGCATGTGCAGTAGTGCAAACAATTTGGAATAATGTGTTATGGATAGAAGAATCAGAGAACACCACATTGAGTATGATCTCACCCAATTTTTCATAATTAGGCATTGATGAAATGCATTTTTTCATCAACTCAAGCACCTGCATGGTAACCCAACGTTTGAAATTAAAAACAATGGTATACTTTTAATCAATATTTTCAAAATCGGACCTGTCATTGAACTAATTAAGACACTAGTTTAAGGTTTAATAGTTTAACCGAGGTCGAATTGGTATTAATAGAATTATCTTTATAATTAAAAATACACAGTACATTTTAATAATATATAATAGCATGATTTTATGATGCTAACATCTATATAATAATATTAAATATATATATATATATATATATATATAAGTTGAATAAAATGTGTATCATATTTAAATTGAAATTTCAATAATATACATTAATTTTTATTAATAATAAGTTTATTTGTAGAATAAATGACTAATATTTTAGGTGATGATTTTTAATTTTTTATGATAAAAATTTAAAATTATAATTTACTAATCATTATGTTGAAGACAATTTTACTCGTGTTTTCCGATCTGATACCAGTTACATCACCGGTTTTCCACCACAAGCAAACCGGAAAGGGGACCAGTTTCTGGTTGAACTAGTCAATTTATCTAGTTTTAACAACCATGATTTTAATCCTTATTGTTAAAACCTACATTTTTCATTTATTATTTTCCAGAATTATCCCCCCTGTGCTACCAAAAAATTCAAATTTGAAGCGATTGACATAAACTTTGTAGCACCACAAAGTAATGCTCATAATATATTGGAAGATTATTTTTTTGTGACTAATAAATTAAAACAAAAAATAGAGGCACAAGTAAATGCTCCCTTGGATTTTCAAAGTCCGTTAGTCAGAAAATAACAGTCATCTCCAATTCTACAAACAGACTAAAAATGAAAGAACTCAACACTAAGTTCAACAAAATATAACAGTTCCACAAAGACTGCTCTCATGTTTTTACTCCTTTTTACTCTTTCATAGTTTCCCACCATGATCATCATATTGGGATTGGTATTATGAATTGGAAGGTCATTCTGATTCATGAATTGAACCATATTCCAAATAGTAAGATTCATCATCGTTAATTTAAAATGCCACAAAAAGTATCGTAACATGTAGAAATATTGAAAACATCTATATAGTAAAGTCATATTGCTCACATATGATATAACTAACAAAGTAAAATATAAACTTTAGAACAATGGAAAAAAACAAACTAATCAAATTTAGCTCTGTAACCCTATAAATATATTAGAAAATAACAGAAAATATAATTTAACTATTAGCTTAAAAATATATAATATGATACAAGCAAAGAATTAGAGGGACAAATTGGAAGACCCAAAATGTGTATGAGAGGAAGAAGTGGAAACCCATAGCATGGGATCCACATGCCCACGCACTATGATTCGGTTTCTAACAGAATCACCTACGTGTCTGTTTAGAGAGAGAAATAGGTAATGAGAGTATAGGAGAGGGGGGCCGGTTTTTGGGAAAAGAAAAAGGAGGGAGGAAGGGAGGACTATCGGGGGTTGGCTCTTTTTGGGGGAAAAAAGAACGATTTTTCTCTTTGTTTTCGAATATAGAAATAACACGAGGAATTTTCATCTCTTATTTATTATTGTTTAATTGGGTTCTTATCAAGTGGTATCTCCTCAATTCTAGGAGTGCATGGTGCTTACAAGAAAAACAATGGAGAAGCGTATGGAAGGCTTTGAACAATAGATTGTCGAATTAAGGAATTTGATCATCTTGCGTAGCAAGTTTTGTCGTGGTAGATCTCACAAACGACAATCACATCGGAGGCGGAACGGGAACGACGATGGTGATAGTCTGCACTTCACCACGCGAAGCATGAGTCGTGACTCATCACATGATTTTGGGGGCCGCAAGTTGAAGATTCTCATTCAAAGGTGACGATGCGTATGAATGGATATTTTGAGCTGAAAGATAGAGAGAAATTGTAGACCGTGGTTATCGCCCAGGAGGATAAGGGGTTGAGTTGGTATCAGTGGTGAGAAGAACAGAGTTCGGAACTGAATTGGGAGGAATTTAAGGGGGCCCTGATTAGGCATGTTCAACCAGGGTTAGTACAAAGCCCTTTTAATCCATTGCTGAGTATTGAATAAACTAGTTCAGTAATGAAATACATGGATAAGTTTGAAAGGGAATCGACTCCTTTGAAGAAAGAAGAATTATGCTGAAGGGTATTTTTATTAATGGCTTGAAGAAAGAGATCCAAGCTGAATTAAAATTGTACACCAACGGGACATTAGATGAATTGATGGATAAAGCATAGAAGAGAAGAATAATGCTTTACGTATGGCTGGGTTGATAGGTGCAGAGAAGAAGCCAGGGGAGAAACCTTTTATGAAGCAGGCAAAAGGCTTCACTAGGTGGGAGAAAGGAGGAAGTAAAGAGGGGACAAGCATGAGGTTCCAGAAAAGAAGACATTAGGGGGAGGAAATTGTCTCAAGATGAGCTGCAAGAAAGAAGTAAGAAGGGGTTATGTTTCAAATGTGGAGAAACGTGGGGAAAAGATTATGTGTGCAAATTGAAACACTATCAAATTGTATTGGTGGAGGACTCCCAGGGTGAAGAATCTGAAATTAGTGATGGGGAGGAGAAAAAAGGGGACACTCTTACGGCTAAAATCTTGCAAATTTCATTGAAAAGTAAGGATGGACTGTCCTCTAAACGATCCTTCCAAGTAATGGGGAGGATTAGAGGATTTGAGGTATTGGTTTAAGTGGATTGTGGAGCTTTGGCCAATTTCATTTCAAAGAAATTAGTCCAGCATCTCAAATTAGAAGTGAGTAATACAAGGGAGTTTGAGGTTGTAGTAGGAACAGGGAAGAAGGTGGTGAATAAGGGAATATGTAAACAATTGGAATCGGTGATTCAAGGTATTCCAATTATGCAACAATTCTATCTTATGTGGGTTTCCCTTAATCTTTTTCAGTTTCATGCTGAAATTATAAAATGTCCAAAAGTAGGGCTGGTTCAAATTATTTTAGTATTGTGAAATTATTATTTAATGTTTTATTTAATTGTGATTTCAAATGTTAAATTAGTACATACGAGTCTAGTTTATGGACTTCTCATGAGTCTATATAGACTCTTAAATTCGATAACCTTGCATACCTTTAGTGTTATTTTCCATCTAATATGCTTCATCTTGTATTTCCAATATTCGTGATTGACAAGCACATACTGCAAAGAGAAAATGATCAATGCCAGCAGAGCATCATGCTCTACTCCTGTTTCCACAAGTTGTAGGGTGAAGTCCAGCACTGCAAGATTCAGACCACAAATAAGATTAGAAAGAAAATAGATGGAATATAGCATAAAAGTTGACACAAGCATGCAGAACCAACAACTCAATTGAATTAATCATTTATTGCAAGTTTAAATTACGAAAATATACATCAGTATATTTTCATGAAGTACAATGCACCAAAGTGGTTTATAGTCTCTTTTTTACCTTTTCAAGCAACCATTGTAATAAATTTGCAATATACCGAGAAAGCAAAAGGCATAGCATCTTATGGGGAATGTCTATGGTAGCACTAACACTTGCAAAATCTTTCAAAACAAATATTCCTTAGAGTTGCGCTAGTTCTGATCAAGTAGATTGTGTATCAAAAAACAGGGAGAAGAAAGAAGCCAAAAATATAACAGCCAATCAATCTGTAATATAAATTTTAGTATTCATTCTGGAAAGTGAGGTCCTCGTTTTGTCTTCAATAAAACTAAATGAACATCACAACAAAGATTGCAATGCCATCTAGGATAACACCCCAATCCATGACAGATCTGCAACACATCATATAACCATTAAAAATAAACAAAATACAAGAAAAAGTGGGGGACCAAACCTTACCCACTAGTTAATCAAAAAGCGTATAACTACAAAATTGGAACCTATTCTTAAAGGGGTAAGCTTTAACAAAGTCTGGAAGCCTCTTCTGTCAATAATCTCCCCCAATAATCTCCCTGTATACTAACCCCATAATTAGTTAATCTTCCTGCACACTCATTTCCTTCCCTAAATATATCTGAAATGATTACCTACTTGCTTTTAAAATCCTTTAAGCTATTTAACCATCTATTAAAAGTTTGGACAGGAAGAGAAGTGTCGCAATCTACCCATTTGTTATTCCATCCTTTTGTGGCAGCTATCTCCAAAGCTCAGATCATTCCCATTGCCTCTGCATAGAATGCTTCCTGTATGCCAAGATTTACAGAAAAACATCCTATGTAAGCAGCAATTTTATCTCTATAGCTACCACCACATGCAGCTGGTCCAGGGGCTCCCTTAGCAGATTCACTAACATTAACCTTAGCATACGTACAGGGCCTTACATAACATGCTCTTTTCATTGTATCTATGTCACTCTTTTCATTGTATCTATGTCACTAGCATTCACATTCTCTCCAGAAAGTATTTTCCTTTTATCCAATTTCTGGTTAGCTGAAAAAAATCTGAGGACTTGCTTCCCAAACCCTATTAATCTGTGTTTTCATAACAAAATAAATCCTTCATGCAAATACAAATTTCCATTCTTATAATTTAATTTTTTGACGTGTTTTCCGAAGAAATCAACTTACAAATGAGAAATATGTATATCTTGAATAGACCTATCTATAAGTTTCCTTCATATAATGGGAAGTGACTAATGAGACAATTTAAATTTCCTTCTTTCTCACAAACCGTTTACTGCATCTATGCACACTTTTGCCAAAATCTCAGCTTCTTGGAACTTCAGTGCCGTCTATTCAAAATCACAGCTACGTCCACTCAAAATGGAAAGAATATGAGGTTTGATATCTTTTGTTATTTACTGATAATCAAATCCAAGATATTGGAAAAAACTTAGTCCATGTAAACTAAACATGATACCAAAATATAATATATAAGTGGAGGCAATTCTCACCTTATAAACCAGTTGTGTGTGATTAGGTTAAGCTTAAACCACATGGTAAATGGTATCAAAGCCAATCCTCAATTCTTTAAAAGTGTCCCTCACCATGTTATCCACGTACCAAGCTCAGTAGTGCTAGACGTGACAGGGTATACTATGCTGGGAAAACTCAAGTTTCACATCAACTAAAATTAGTCAAAATACAATATATGTGGGGAAAATCTTTATCTTCCAAGGCAATTTTGTAAGGTTGAGTTAGATCTAAACCACTTTGTAAGACCTGATTCCTACTTCCTCATGATTGTAAGGTTGCAAGCAATAAATTCTTATTTTCCTCATTTGTTTGTCTCTTCCATTGTTAATGATTAATGCAAAAAATTCATTTAATAATAAACAAATTTAAGTTCTATACAACTAATTCTAATGAAATGACCCAGAGTTTAAAATTGTATGATATATAAAATCTTATATTTTATAATAGTTTGAACACATGAATGTTTAATTCCAAAAATAATAGCAATTTACACATTAATTTTGTTTAGAACAAAAGTCATGCACAAACACAGGCTACTAATTAATATTCAGAAAACATCACCTATTATCCACTATACTAAGTTTCAGAGCAAGCTAATTAAGCACAAGAATTTTATCAACACACAATTAGAAACAAATAAAAATATCATTCAACAATAAAGTGGATAAGAAATCAATGTTAGTCATACCTGATATTGCCAAGGGGCAGTCATTACTGTTGTGCTCACAGTCAATTAAAAGCATCCTAGCCAGTTTGCAAGAAAGCAACCATGACCCACTGTAAAAATGCATAAGGACTGCCAGATGTAACTTCACATTTTATAATACATAACACTAAGCCACTTTGACACTACATGCCACCAATATATATATATATATATATATATATATATATATATATATATAAATATATATGGAAACGTCAAGTCATACAATAAAAGACAAAAAAGGATTGCCATACCCCATATCTTTTTATTAAAACATCCAATTTCAATTCAATCTTGTGAAAACAGTAAGAGTGTCTATTAGTGTATGCATGTTATTTTAAAAATAGGGATTTACCTTGATAAGCCATTACTTCCTACATTGAACACAGGTGTCTGCAAAGTCATATCAAACAGGTTTGCATTTAGAGTAGCTGCTGCAACATTAGATGGAGAACTGGATTGGAAAGGAAAAGAATTAGCCAATCACCAATAACAAACAAGAAAGCGGAAAACAATCCATTTAAATGCTCTTAAGACATAAGAGACATACGTACAGATCAAATATTTGACTAGCACAATTTGATCTACTTTTACAGAAGAATAAGCTCAATTACCAAATCAACATAATTGCTAAAATCTTGACACCCATTGACATAAGTGCAGCACCACAGGAATTCAGAGGCAGTTTTGTAATTAAATTGCAAATTATCTCAACCACCCTGTAAAGACAAGAAAAATATTATTTTAAAAACAAGAGATAAACAGAATATATCATAAAAGTAATCAAGGAAAATACATGCACATAAAGACAGCTGTTCAAATTGAATAATTTACCAGACCCTCTTTTCAACCTGCTCATTCATCGAGCCAACGGCATCAAATTGCAAATAGTTACTGATGTCCATTAAAGCAAAGCAAATACCCTGCACATAGTAAGAGAATCATTGACCAGATTTCTTAGGTACTTAGGTTGACAGAGATTACTGCCATAACTATTAATGTGTAGCTCCTGTAGTTAATAACACTACTTAACCTTTAAATCTCATCTCAAGATGCCATCCATGAGAAATATAATACTGGTTTGCAAAAGTTACCATGCAGTGGCTGTATTCTTACAAAGAACCCAATGGAAAATAAATGGTCAATTAAACTTAATCAACTTACAGTATTAAAGGACACCAATCTACTAAGCAGGTCAAGTGTAAAAGCAACTTCATCCTTGTTATTCAAATACATTTCTTGGGCCAAATGTAGGAGTAACACAAACATTCCAGATGGTGAATACTACAAAAAAATCGTGAATTCAGAAATTGAGATAATATTGATAAGATAAACTCCAAGTAATAATATAATCTCCAAATTACAGTAAATATTAGGAGTGTAAAGCACAAGCAAAATTTAAAGATGCCAATATAACAACATTTCAAAACTGGAGACTGGAAGAACATCATTTATTTGATTATCACTGTTGAAATTATATACTTTTAGATATTGTGGGTGGAAAAGTGAAAAAAAATGAAACACTGAATTGATATTAACTTAGATGCAATACAATGCATTGTTATATTTGGTATATATTCATAAAACCTATAGTACTAACCCTTAATATACTTTTTCCAAGTTATATCTCTAGTTAATGTGAGACTTGAGCTTTTTCCAATACCCTATTTACACTAATCATAAATCCGACCTAATTATGGAAAACAAATCATGATAAGATAAAGAAATATGGTAACTAATCCTAAGGCATAAAGAGCTCATAAGGAAACTGTTAAGATTCCAACATAAAACCAATTGGCTATATGTGGAGTAGCCTAACATGTATTTAAACCATACCAAATGATATGAGGTAGGCGATGTGGGACTTTCAACACACCCCCTCCAACGAAGCCTGCCGGACCAGGCAAAGGGTACTTTTGACCCAACTAAAGGGCAACTTTTGGCCCATGACAATAACCGGAAAGATGTTAGGCTTTGACTCTGATACCATGTTAAGATTCCAACATAAAACCAATTGGCTATATGTGGAGTAGCCTAACATGTATTTAAACCATACCAAATGATATGAGGTAGGCGATGTGGGACTTTCAACAGAAACTAATCTTAAAGCATAATCTAAGATATGATAAAGTATTATTTACACATATTCTAGCAATCACTAAAGAATAATATTTCAGATTGCAAACCAATTACCAAAGAATTTACAGAGAATTTCTAATAGGAACTTTTGGAATGGGCCTCGCTTCATATGATTAGCAGAATTTTCAGGTTATTGTTTATTCACATCCTAGCCTGGTGCTAAGAGGAGAAAGAATAAATACTACAACAAGCTATAACATTTTAAAACATAATAATTCAACTATTTCCACACCACCAAAAAATAGTGAAGAAAAATTATTATTATAAATCAGGGTACAGGAAGCACTAAGAAATGTAACATAAGTTAGAAACAATATTAGCATAATTTACCTCCCATCGTACAAGGGCAGTATTCTCTCCAACAACTCTCAAGACTCGCCCACGTGTTCCAGCAGGAATAAAGAAACCTTCAACCCCAGGAACTCGCACTGCCTCTCGTGCTTCAACTATCTGTGACTCACTATTAATCTCAAACAAAGATGATATACCAACAGACCTACTTAGAAAGTTATACCTGTTGAAAAAAATGCATCCATAAGGAAAAGGCTACCAGGGACTCAAGAAACAAAACTGTACCTTTGGCTTTGAAGGACCAATGGTGCAGTAATTCCAATATAATAACAGAAATAACAAAAATTGTTCATTTACTTACACACACTCTGCGGGCCAGGCTCCTTCACTAAGGGATGACAAGAGTTGTACAAGTTCAATGGTCCTAAAAGGGAACTCACTCTCTAGGTTGCATAGAAGAGACCGAATTGGCCCGTCAATAAAACTTTCCTTGTCCCAAAACTGAATACATAACGATTCCTGAAAGTTAAGGAGCACAGTCCTTGAATTGATAAATGATAACTGGCAAATATTATGATAATGAAGCAATGAGTGAAATGAAGGAGAACGATTATACATCCAAACCTCTCCGCGGTAAATCTTGCAAAGAATATCCAGTATTAGAGTGGGGTTATTGTCGTCGGGCTGTACAGTTGAAGCAGAGCAAATGAGAAAGACATAAAATCTTGTAAAAACTAACTGCAGATTTTACAACCATACCTGAGGGTTGATTTCATAAGATGCAATGAATGCAGAAATGAATGTCCTCAAAACACTCCGATATCCAGACATTGGGCCCTGAATGATAGGGAGGATATAATTTATACAAAAGAAGTACAAAATGAAGTCTATATACATTCTACTACCAGTATAGTGTAAATATTAATAATAAAATGATTCATGACAAAAAAGAAAGGAATCTGGCAAAGTTTAACAAATATTAATCCACTACAACAAGTTATGCTACCCAAGTCCAAATGACGCACATCATAATCCTTCAAAATGTCACATTGAAGAATTTCAAGACAATAACGCAAGGATCCGGCTTCAAAGGCTTGACGGACATAACTGACATGATCAATCTCCTGGATGCAGAGAAAAGAAAAAGGGTCAACTTTGTAATACACACACGTGATAAGTAGTAAACAAAAAAAATCACATAAAACTTAACCACGTACCATTAGCTCATTGTTTTTATCTTTTTCAAGAAGAGTCAAGAGTAGATAAAGAAATACTGCCCAAGCTAGAACAAGAGGACCAGCTTCATTCATTTCAAAAGCATTGAAAGTAGAAACTAGTGCATCCATCTCTTGGACATCAGTCATGGAAAAAGTAGACACACTTTTCCTGGGAAATCCAAATCCAAAACAGATTTCACATCATTCAACAAAACATTAGTTTAAAAAATCAATTGTAGAGCACAAACCATCAATGTATGCAATGCTACATAACTAATATATTATGAAATTATTAGAGATCCCACATTGACTAGAAACTTGGTCAACTTATAATATATAATTAAGGTGCAAATTTCATCTTACAAGTCAGTTTTCTAGGGTTGAATTAAGCGCCTTTCCATTTCTAATATGATATCAGAATCTATCCCAGCAAGATTTATTAACCTATAACTCCACTCGTAGTCAGGCCACTGTCAAACTACCCTTAATATTCAGTTCCACGCTCTCGAAATGTTCATTCCTTAACATGAGGGGATATGTTGGAGGTTTCACCACAACTAGAGATATTGGTCAACATATAATATATAATTGAGGTGTGAACCTTGTCTTACAAGCCAATTTTGTAGTATTAAGTTAGGTACTTTTCCATTTCTAATAGTAATATACTAAACTAGGAATGAAAAATTTGACTCAACACACAGCTCTAAACAAGGAATATCATGACATGATACAAACAAATTGGAAATATTTCGTATCCAAAGCTTACAAGTAAAAATATCAACAATAATCAAATTAGATATGCTGAATTACTGGTAAAATTAATGAATTCTAATAATGATATACAGCATAATAACTTTGCTATTCTAAATATGCCAAAAATTAGAAGCAACAAACAAGAGCATTTAAGGTGAGAGATAGCTGGAATTCACTGAAGAACAATAGGACAAAGTATGCAATTTTTTATCTAGTTGCATGTTGAAATTCTACAAATGAAGTGACATTCAAGGAAGGTGAGCTTCAGAATAGAACATTTGCCTCGTGATTCCTTAGACCACAAGATATTTTCTATAATAAAAATATTTATTTTCGATTCAAGAAAAAGCCTGGCAGACCACATTCAGATCAGCATTCAGCCGGTCATTGCAACAAAGATGAGGTTTGAGATTTTGGCCTTGCAATCCACAGTGCATCATGGTTTAACCAAACTGTTTGAGAACTTACTTTTGCTATAACTTTGAAGCACTGCATAAAAATAAATACTAGGCTAACCTATACGGTACTTCATCATGAACCATTTGAAGAACATTGTCAAGGTTCAGAGTTTCGATTAAAATAAGCAGCAGTTGAACTTTAGCGTTATAAGACAGCTGTTGTGTTTCTGTAGTAATTGCTAGCTTTCCCAAGTTATAATCTCCAGCTACGATTCCCTGAAACAAAAAAAAATGTATATTTTAAAACAAGGATTTGATTCAAGAAAATATTGCCGAGCCAAGTCCCAGCAGAGGTATATAATTATTGAAAGGAATGCTTGTAATTGTGTGATTTATACACACATGAGTATTCTTATTTATAATGAAGAAGAGATACAATAATAACAAACAAAATCAATACCAAATAATGAGAGATATTTGGTAAGGTATTTCCCTATCAAATCACATTATATCTCCCTATTTAATGTAATCAAATTATATTTCTAACAATTCTTCTACCTTGTAAAGAGAACCAAACTTCTTCCACATTTCCCCGCTACAGGTACAAAATGAGTCATAATATGCCAGGAAAAGGATGTCTAAAACCAAGTTGTCTTCCATTAGAGTCTCCTCCGCCCACAGAGTAAAAAGCTCAACATCCTTCAAGCATTCCACAATTAACACATGTTGAGTCATCAAACAAAAATCTTCAATTAACAGTCATATGATGAAGATACCAATCAAAGAAAAAGAAAAATCCCACTATAGGATTGAAGATCATTCCAACATCTAGTGTTTCACATGCTCCATATGATAATATCCAGTCACAACACCCCAGAGTTTTGAGACACATAACACACTAATCAAGAACATGAAAGAATGGCGCATGAAAGCAATGCTATACACCAAGATTCAACTAGTAATGTCACAGCATGCACATAGATTATTGCATCAAAGTTATGTGAGGATAACATACAAAATAAAAGTTAACTACCCATTTAAATTATGTAATATAATGGTGTCAAATTAAAGAAGGATACCAAGTGGAATCTGAACATACCATTTGTTCTGGGTAACTACGAGACAGAAGATTGTCAAAGAACAATACTAATTTACTTTCCAGACCATCATGAAACATTTTTTTTGCCTCCTCCTTCATAGTATTATCTTCAGACACAGGACCATAATGTACTGATGTAAAGTCAAAATCCAAAGAAATATCAGCAAGCAGAATGAATTAACACAAAGTAGAGAAATGTTTACTAAAGGTATACAAAATGAATATATGTGATCATGAAGGTGTCTCTGTCAATAAAGAGAACTAAGAAAAACAAGTACTAAGGACCATAAAAAGAAACATGTACACTTACTAGCATGCATGAGAATCCACCTGATACACTTTAGCAAGCACTGTCGCTCCTTGTAATATTGAATTAACATCTTAATAAAAGAAAGAAAAGAAATCAGAAAGAAAGTATAAAAGAAAAAATACTGTCAACAAACAATTTTATACATGAACTATTTTATATCTGTTAAAATATGTTTTACTTTTATTTTTCTGATGTGTGTTCCAGGATTTAAGGTTAGGATTGGAACATGAGCACAACCACTCTTTTGTATTCTCTCTCATATATAAATACAATATACTAGTGTCATTTGACACTGCCTTTTCACCCTAAATATTTCTCCCAAGTTGGTATCAGAATAGGAAAGATCCTGCTCTTGTTTCCTTTGCCACAGTTCATCTCTGACTGTCAACTGCTGTTGTGTCCACCACTTTCAATCAGAATCCTATCAGGCGCATGGGTCTAATGCATGGCTGGAAATATGTGCCGCCTTCCAGTGACGAGATTTACTACAAAATATTGTGTATTCATTGGAGGGAATATGAATTTTTTTCAAAGAGTAAAAAAACAAAATGTTGATGTTCGATCTAGTGCAAAATTTTGTGATATTGAGAAAATGAAGTTGTATTGTGATAATCAAGTGGCTCTTCATATTGCTTCCCATCTAGTGTTTCATGAGAGAACAAAATATATTGCGATCAACTATTATTTTGTCAGAGAATTTGTTGTCCAAGGACCATATTACTGATGTGTGAGTTCTAATGAGCAACTCACAATTATTCTAACTAAATCTCTAAGAAGATCTAGGATCCAATCTATATGTTCCAAACTTAGCGCATATAATCTATATGCTCCAGCTGGAGGAGGAGTGTTAAAATATGTTTTATTTTTATTTTTATTTTTCTAATGTATGTTCCCCATATTTAAGGTTAGGGTTGAGGAAGGAGCCCAATTAGGGATGGCAATTAAACCCGTCCCCGTGGGGACCGACCCGTCCCCGCCCGAGTTTGACGGGGAAAACCCCAGTTGACCGAGGGCGGGGCGGGTTTTCCCGCTTTAAAAAGTCGGGGCGGGGCGGGGCGGGGATGGGTAATGCAATCCCGCCCCGACTTTATATTTAAATTTAAATTTTAAAATATTAATATTTTAAAAGTATTTTTTTTCTTTTTCTATTACATATAAGGTCATTTTTTTATATTTCACCAATTTTTATTTTTCTTATACCTATTTTTTAATTTTTTTGTCTTTTTTAATCTTTTATATCAATTAATTTATTACATTATTCTCTCTTTTACCTTTCAGTTTTTCACATTTTCTTAATCTCTCCCATCAATTTGTTTTTTTTTTTCAATCTTTTCAATCAATTTGATGAACACAAAGTTAATTTTTTTATTCTTTATCTTTTTCTAAATATTTTACATAAATCTTAGTAGTAAATAATATTATTTTATTTATAATTTATATTTATTAGGTTTTATTATGTCATTTTTTTATCTTATTATTCTTATTTATCATATATCAAATTTTATCTTAATAAAATAATTGTATTTTAAAGGATTAAAGGAATTGATAATTTAAACTTTTATTACTTTGAACTAATTGAATAATAATTAACTTATTAAATATTTTCTTATAAACTATATATTTCATATTTTTAAATGACAACTTAAAAATGAATTAACTTATATATATAATCAAATGTTTGAATACAGTATTATAATAATAATGTTATAAGTATTCAAATATTTGAATACGATATTATAATAATAATGTTATAAATAAAAAATGATTAAATATTTCTTTTACATACATATTTTAATATAAATATAATAAATTAGAATGTATATTTAATTAATAATTATTATAAATTATAAAATTATAAATATTTATTTATATATAAAAAATAGATAGAAAAATTAATTTATTATAAATGTAATTATCTTTTTAAAAATAATATAAATCGGGGACTGGGCGGGAACCCAAAACCCAACGGGACGGGGATGGGGACTTAATTTCTAACCCCGCGGGGATCGAGGGCGGGACGGGGATAATTAAAAAAGTCGGGGCGGGGATCTGGGAGGCAAAACCCGCCCCGCCCGCCCGTTGCCATGCCTAAGCCCAACCTCTCTTTTGTATTCTCTCATATATAAATACAATATACCAGTGTCATTTGGCAGTCTTTTCACCCTAAATATTTCTCGCGAGTATATCAATGTGGACTAGCCCACCCTTTTTTAACCTGCCTCACATTTGGCCCACAAAAACATGTTGATGCAAGTTGGCCTACATAAGACTTGTGGCAAGTATGTCTAGCCCGCCCTACATAATTCAAGGCTTGCCAAGAACAAGAGAGCTACTTAAGTCATGTTTAAGAATGATTTAGAGTTAGGTTCAAAACCGAAGAGAAACTCAATAAGTTAATAGGCCATTTATTCCTTGACTCTTAAACTCTTTGTTTTGGGATCCACTTGCAAGACAGGATAAATGGTGCATCTAGATTGATTCCTAAACCACTAATGCCCTCTCTTCCAACTCATTCAACAGGAGCAATGGCAGCTTCTTCTATCCTTTGTGTTTCCTACCCATTAAGAGCTCATAACACCTTGTAACAATGAATTGAGCTTGGCTTTGTCTATCCTTCAGTTTTGTCTTGCTTCATTTCTTTGCCTTTCTCCTTTTTATAAGGAGAGGAAGAAGAGAGTGTCTTGACTCTCTTCTAGTCTTTGACCAAGTCCTATAGTCTTATAAAAAGTCCCCTTTCCCTTCAACTATCCAATATATAGGTTCCATAGTGGAGAATCCCCACTAGCATTAGCAAACTCTGGAATTCCCAACTAGAGAATGAGCTCTTTCATTTGTCGAAAGAGAGTTCTCATCCAAAGTATTACGAGATCAAAAGAAAGAACTAAACTTATTCAAGTCAATCTAGTCAACTCTCTCACTCTATCAAGTAAGTAATCCTAAATCAATCCATGACTCAATGATGGATCTGGGCGCTTTACAGAAACGCTTTCTTTGTGCAGACCATACTCCACCTTTCGTCAAGTGAACTATTGCCTTTCCCCTCAAGATGGTCTGCCTTGCTTCTGCCTGATGGAAACTAGGGTTCAAGTTTAGACTTTTCGAAATCAAGACATGGCAAGGGCCAAATTTGAACTTGCAATCTTCATGTTATGGGCCTATCGAGTTAATCAACTACTTTATCCCTACCCTTATTCCCAACTGTCTAACCTTTCTTTCACGCCATAACTACCACTCTCCTTTCTTTTTATAAAAGTAAAATTTTTTTCGACATTGGGCTTTAGTCATCCTAGTTCTACATGGGAAGGGAAGAGCAAGACCAACTTCCATTGTCAATCCTCAAACGGCTTGAAGCATCTAGTATTGGCTCATTTAAAAGTGACAAGGAAGCTATCTAACTCCACATTAGGCTTGTTGTTGTGTTGATTCCCACATGTTAAAGATCTAACCAGTACTTCCTTGCACTATAAACTCTTGCAATCCAACACTGACTCACTATAAGAAGATTATCTGAATAGCATAGTTATTCTATATGTGAAAATAGTGATTCGAGTTATCAAATAGCAATGAGGCAGTTCTTCCTTTAACACCATCGGTAGATAGGAACCAAACTGTCATTTTGGTTTTTGTTGCTAAGTCCCAGTCTATTCATACTTCTTTGGTTTTTTATGATTATTAATAGATTGAAAAACAGAGAATAGAGAATGTGGTAAAGACTCATGTACTTTTGGGGACAATGAATCCCCTTTTCTAGGAAAAGAGCAATAAAACAATGGTTGGGGAAACTACTCAAAGTCTAATACCAACCATCTCACGTTTTTAAGTTGACTTAGACTAGTCATGTAGGTGCTTCTTATTGCTTCACTAGACAATCCACATAAATGAAAAAAAAAAAAAAATCAATATATACTATGAGTCTCTACATGCAATGAATACATATCGTCCTACATTAAAAAATACAAGCAAGTACAACCACATGTAAAGATTATTATCACATATCAATCCTTTATACTTTTGCACATAAATCTCTTTTCACATGACATATTGAACAATAAATTAGCAAATGAATCATAAATTCCTGATTAAATATGTCAGTGGCACAATCATGAGATGAATACTAATTCATAAGATCCTAATTAAATACACATATATATAACAACCTAAAAAAATGACTTTTATAACACAATTACTTTAATATAAAAATATATAAAATAAAGGTATGCGAGTTGTAAGACTTTGATATTTCTCTTTGAATATACATATATAGTTTCTAAATATAAGTTTTATTTTCTAAAATAATTCCTAACAATTAGGGATGGTTGTTTAAGATGTTTGAATGATAAATGAATAACTAATAATTAATTTTTATAAGAATAAAAATAAAAAATATTGATTTAAATAATTGTTATAGGGTTATAATTATTTATTCTATTAATAAAATTTTCCTTCACCTTAAGAATAATGTTTATGTTAAATTGTTTGAATAATTACTACAAGTGTAAATCACTCATTTACAGGGGAGATTAGTTTTAAATCTAGGATTGTTTAAATAACTTGTGGGACAAGCTTAGTAAGATTGTAATTACAAAATAATTTAGTACAATTCAAATTTTAATTGAGTACTTAGAATAGAACAAACCACTTTTTTAGGGATACAAGTTAACTATGGAGATTAATTAAAATTACCAATTGACATACTAAGTGTGAATGTTTTCATAGAACCTGAGATGTTTAAATTAATCTCTAGAGCTAATTTACATTTGAATACATTGAGTTCTAATTACCCAGTAGAAAATTTGTAAACTAAACTTGAGCACCTAAATTTGATTTCAAAACCAAGACCACTTAAACCATTGACACCTCACCCTAGTTAATCCTAAACCATTGACACCTATAACCCACCATCACTCACCCCTAGTCTAAATCCTACACATCATCTAAAATCCTAGCCAATAAAACCTTGATTTGGTGTTGCTATGTATTGATGTTGTTATGGTCTTGGTTTAGCTCATGTTTGGAGGTTCATATTGATAATTAAAACCTTGATTCAATGTTGCTATGTATTGATGTTGCTTGGAGTAAACTTGTAAAGATTGTAGTTCAAGTTGCTATCTTTTGTGTTAATGATGCCATATAGTATAACTACACTAGGGCAAAAAGACTATAGATGTAAGATATAGAAGCGGAATCAATTTTCTGTTTTTAACATTTTTCATCTTTAGAAATTCTATCTATTTTGAAGGACATAATTCATTATTCTAGCTTCAAAAACTGTGTTTTTTCTGTTCTGAACACGGTTGGTCATATATACTCTTTTATGAAATCTAACATTAAAGAGTTCAACTTTCTTAAAGCATTTTCATCTCTATTAAATTGGGTCTTGCTCCTTCTGTAATACCTGTTTTATGACTACCTCCACCTTGTTTTCGGATGAAGTGTAATATTGATGGATTTGCTCATGGTGCTCCTGGTCTTGCTACTTGTGGGGGCTTGTTTCGGGATAGAGTTGCAGTCTTTGTTGGTTGTTTCACTCACTATCTTAGTGTACATATAGTTATAGCAAAACTTCTTGGTGCTATCTGAGATGTGGAAACTGTGATTGAGAAAGGATGGCATAATCTATGGGTTGAATGTGACTCCATGTTGGTGGTTCAAGCTTTCTCCAATCATCAAATTGGTCTTTTGCATCTTCAACTGGCAGAATATGTTGTATAGGCTTAGGAATATGAGATTTCATTTATTTCATATATAGAGAGAGGGAAACCATTGTGCTGCAAACTTACTTTTTTTTGGGATTAGACATAGAAGTACTATGTGGTGGGATCTTATTCCAAATTTAATAAAGTTTGATTTCTATATGAATAGATGGAATCTACCTAGTGATAAAGTTTGTGATAGGTTGTGAAATTTCTGGCTCGTCATAAAGTGAACGGGGTTGAACTCGATTATTTTCAGCTTAGCCCGTGGTGAGCCAACCCGTATGAGCCGAGTTGGCTCACTTTGACACCCCTACAATTAAGGTGGCTTTTCAGCAAGTTCAAAGGCAAAAAATACAAGAACAAGGAATCTATGGAATCAAGGATTACTAAATCTTAAGATAACTCATCATGCTATCCAAGACCCAAATGAGGACATGAAAGCAGAGCTGTGAAGAGCATGTGTTTGTAGTGGTGCATGGCAGAACATATGTTGACCTGAACAGTTCATGGGACATGATTAACAGTGTGTTAACACGCAAGTGTCAAGTAGGCCAAAAAGTAGGGTTTCTCAGAGAGGTTATACAAAATCCCATTTTTCAGAAAGGTTAAAATTTTAAAAACCTCAAGGGCTATACAAAATTTAGTTTTTCCCGAGCTTCTCTGTTTGAGATCTCTCTTTTTGTTCTGACTCTGTGCAACCAGAGTGACAAAGACAACCATCTTCAATGGTTCTCACGATAGCACCCAACCCACTATGCCATTTTTTGCAATCAGCTGCTATCCAAGAATGACAACTACCTACTAATCTCCAACATGTAACATGAAATGCATTATGTGTACGGATATAAACATTTAAATTATTATACTAAACTTCTAAACCCAACCATGTAATATGTTGTAATTAAAAGAAAAGTAAAAAGAAGAAGAGAGAGAAAATTTGGTTTTCTTCTTCTTCGTACAAACAAATCCCCAATCTCCATAACTCAGCTCTACCTTCTCTCCTACAGATCAAGACTTTCTTCTTCCCCGATCAAGAATCTGAGATCGCCGTTGTGCTCACGGCGGAGAACAGCAGAAGACCCACCGATTAGAATTTCGTTTCGGTAAGTTTGAATTTTAGGGTTTTTGCTAGTTAAAATTTGGGGTTTTGAGAATTTAAGGAATTAATTGTGGAATTAAAGGTTTCCTCTTACTCTGTCACTCCCCAATTTTATGTTTTCGGGTTTAATTCTGTTTTTTACTTCAATTTCGTTTTTAGGGTTTTCCAAATTGGGGGAGAACTGTACCTCTTAGGTGTTTTGGCATTCCTAAGGTTTTATTGGAATTAGGTTAACGTGTAACATCACCCTCACGTAAGGGAGGCTTCTTTAATTTTTACTGGTTGTATTATATTGATGAAAAGTTTAATAAAGTGAATTATGAGTATGTTTGTGATATATATACGTGTTATATGTGATATGATAGTATGCTTGTGATATATATATATATATATATATATACGTGATATATGTGATATGAGAGTATGCTTGTGATATATATACGTGCTATATGTGATATGAGAATATGTTTGTGACATATATACGTGCTATATGTGATATGAGAGTATGTTTGTGATATATATACATGATATATGTATATGAGAGTATGCTTGTGATATATATACGTGCTATATATGATATGATATTGTGAGCACTGTGGAAATCTTGCAGCGTAAATTGTTTTGAAATAGATACCTTTGTATCATTGAATTTCTAAATTGTATGGTTGGTTTGTGTGGTTTGAAGGAGAAAGGATGTACCGTTTTAAGTGAATTATGATTGCATAGTAGTTGAGAATTTTAAATGTTGGACTGGACATTTTGAACTGCATGATGTTGGTTTGATTCTAGAAACCCTGAGTAGAATAGTGTGTATGAAATAGTTGTTGAATGATAGATTTGATGTACTGTGTAGAATAATGTGTATGGAATTATGGATAGGCGTAATAGGGTATCCAAACTTTCAAGATGTTCTTAGTTATATAGACGAAGACATCTGTGGTGGGAGGTCGATGGAGACACAACATAGTGTCAATCCTATGCATGTGTTGCTCTGATGAGAGGTTGAAAAAAAAAATGATATTATAGGCCTGGGGCCATGAAATTTTAAGGGTCTGAGACCCCAAATATTCCTCATCAGGTGTCTACCTTATTGGTCTGAATTCCATATAGTTTTCCGGAAAGCGTCAGTCTTGTTGTGTGTTGTGATTGTAAAATGCTAGACTCTCCGGTGAGTCTAGTTTTAGGATGTTTGTGAATGAATAAGTGTTGTTTGCAATGTTACACTGTTCTACATATTTAATCAAATGATAGCTTACCCTTGCTTTTGTTGCGTGCTTGATCTTTTGGGATCCTGCTATGATCATGTTATACACGTGAGCAGATTCCAAATCTTCTACAGGTGGTAGTAAGACCCAATGATTTGAGAAATGGAGTAAAGACCTCCTAAATTTGAAGGAGTTATTTTGTGTTGTATAATTAGGTGTAAAACATTCGTGTAATTAGGACTTTTGATGTGTGATGTTTTCTTTTCTTTTTTCTTTTCAACTATTCTGGATATGTAAATTGAACTATTATACCTCTCTTAGGTGAAAAAGTTATTTTCTTCCTTCATTTAGTGAAAATTTTAAGTATAATTTGCGGGTTGTTACAAACCACCACTCTAAGTCCTGAGCAACAAGTCATATAAGTTCAAAAATAATTTTTGGAATCCATCCAACCATGACTTCACAGTTCACATAACCGCTGAAGTTACTTTATTTGAAATTTGTTTGTAAAAACATATTGGATCAGCCAAATCCTTCTTAACATGAACAAAGTATGATCATTACAGAAATAGCAATTGACTAGACTGATGTTATACAGAAATGCAGTAAGGTAGTAGAGATACTGACCATGTGAGGAAACTCTGGAGAGATGGAATCAGCAGCAGCAGCATTGTTATGTTTGGTTGACCTTTCCACAAAAATGTATGATTGAACCTCATCTAGTAGCTGAAATGAATGGCAATAGAAAATCACCTCGAGGCTATCAGCATGACACTGATAGTGAATAACTGACATTAAAAGGTAAATTCCCCATAATACAGATAATGAAAAAAAAAACACAATACTTGTCCCCACACAGTAGCAACACAAGTGAAGGCAAAAATCATATAGGATAAACTTCCAAATTTCAATGTCAAAACATTTTTTTCTCAGCAAACAAATGATTTCACTCCAGCCTAAACTCCTGAACCACCATAAAAACTTCAACAGTGAAGCTTATGCTATAGTAATGATCACTAAGCAAGAACAAACAAGGAACTAGCTTACCAGGTTGGAGCTAATCTGCAACGCTTTATCTCTCAGGTGAGGCTGAACAGTGAGCTGGTGAGATCCAATTTTCAGCGTTTTTGAATTCAGAGCTTCCTTGGAACTCTGATTGGGCGGTTTGAAGCGTGAAAGTGTGTCTACGAACCAAGCATGGTTGTCCTTCAACTTCTTCACCTAAATAAACATGAAAATGATTCGTTTAAGTTCACAAATTCAGACGCACACGAAGGCACACGGAGATTTCTGAAAGTGTACCAAGTTAGGTGGGAGATCTGAGGACAGAGACGAATTCTCAAGCTCTGTGAGGAGCACAGCGAATGAGTCCCACCACAAAGAAGCATCCACAGAACTGATATCGACCATTGTCCGAGGAGAGAACAGCGAAGAAGATGACGAAGAAGAGAAAGTTAAACCCTAACACTGCAAGTACCAGCAAATGGAAGGGTTTAATTTAATTTTTTCATTTGATTTTTCGCGCTTACTCTGTTGTCTGTCTTAAGTCGCGTTGCATTTCTCTGTTCCCAGCCTATAGACAAACATTTTTATTTTCAATTCATATTTTAGTTTAATTTTGATTATTTGTATTGTACTTAATTTTATACTTTTTTTTAAATTAGTATTATCATAGAAAAAACTATCTAATAATTTAAATAGTATAAGCAACTTTTTATTAACTTGCACAACTTAGTAAAATAATAACAAAAAAACATAAAATATTTAAACAAATATTAAAAACAAAATTTTGCCAGCAGTTTTAGTATGTCTTTTAATATATTTTAGTTACACTTATATGTTGTTGGCTTAATATTGTTTTATCTAATTTTGTACATTTAGACTATTTTTAAATAAATCAATTTCTATGTTTAAATGCCAATTTTACGTTAAATATTTTTTAAAAACTTTTACTTTTAATTTATATTTTTTACAATTATAATTTTAACTAAATTATCTCAATACTATATATGATTATTTTTATAGGATTAAATATTTTTTTATTTATTGTATTTAAAAACAAATGATTTTAGTTCTTATATTTTAAAAAAAATTAATTAATCCTTATATATTAAAAATATATGAGTTTATTCTTTTAAACAATTATATAATAAATTTTTTTATTGAATATTAATTTTAGATATAAAAAATAAAATTATATTTATTCATTTTATTAAATTAAAAAATTATAATTAATGATTAAATTTATATAAAAAAATAAAATAACGTATTCTTAAAATATTGAAAATTGAATTGGTCAATTTAAAAATATAAAGATGAAATATAAATTTTAGAAAAATATATTTTTCCCTTTTAAAAAGTTTAAAGAATTATGTAAAATTTAAAAACTATAATTAATATTTTAAACATATTTAAAAAATAACTATTTAGTTTTATTTAACGATATTATACAAAGTTATATTTTATTTGTACGGTTACTTTTCCTTAAAATTAAAAATAAATTATATAATATATTTTCAAATTCATAATATTCAATTATCTATAAAATTTGATTGAATAATAAAACTTATTTTTATAATAAAATAAAATAAGTATTCATCAAATCGATTCTTAACAAAATAATACGTAATTATACAAAGGTTTGTAGAGTGTCTTATTTTTAACTTATAATTAACCTTTGATTATTTTGTATACTTCTAAAACTCCTAAGACGTCATTTTGCTCTCAAATATTTTTTTCAATTAAATTGTTATCATTTTAAGAGTTTTCTTTTTTATTCAAACTCATTAATCAAAACGTTATAAGATATGTGATGATATAAATACGGATCAGTTTCAAAAAATAATATAAATACATATAACTTTACAAAAATAATGTTCTTTAAAATTCATATTTATATAAATAAAAATAGTTTGAATGATTATTAATATAAATTATTTTGATATATACCAATCCAGTTGTAACTATATGGTCTTTACACATTATTAATTTATGTTGAATATACTACACCTACATTTTCATTTATTAGCACACGTGTCTAGGTATCATTTATTCCTTAAATTATTGTAATTTTGCATTTAAGACTTTAAGCAATAAAAAAAAAACATATTAAAATGTTGTCGTAATTCAATAATCATATATTCTTATTGTTTGAAAAGGACATAATGGAAGCTTAACTATCCCATCACACTGCACTTGTATACACGAGAAATTAATTAAAGACAAATACAATGATCTAGGGGTTGTCCTTTGCCCCAGTGATCTTCATGCAGAACAACAAGCTTATCACACTCAAACTTCAAATAATTTCATACTTCTTAATCACATGCTCTGATTTTGTTTTCTATATGTTCTCACCTGATGCTTTCTTCACATCACCTACGTACCCTATATATCCTCCTTCAAAGGTTTTATTAGCAACAATAGACTTCCTCAATCCTTGTTCTTACGGAAAGCACATAAAAAAGACAAAAGAACATGCACGCATATGTTGTAGACCCAGGAGTAATCTAGCTCTGCAATATAGCCTAAGGATGAGAAGAAGACGGTGGAACTGGAGGCCATTTGGGGTGATGGAAAAAGTGCTTTGGAGGAAGTTTGGGAAGAGGTGGAAGTGGCTTTAGAGGAGGGAGAAGCGGATGTGGATGTGGCTTGAGTGGAGGGAGTGGAGGAAGAAGTGGATGTGGCTTGAGTGGAGGGAGTGGAATAGGTGGATGTGGCTTGAGTGGAGGGAGTGGTGGAAGAAGCGGATGCGGATGTGGTTTGAGTGGAGGAAGTGGAATAGGTGGATGTGGCTTGAATGGAGGGAGTGGAATAGGTGGATGTGGCTTGAGTGGAGGGAGTGGAATAGGTGGATGTGGCTTGTAGATTGGAACCGGTGGGGGGATAGGCTTAACTGGTGGTGTTGGCGGCGGAACAGGAGGAGGCTTGACCTTTGGTGGTTTTGGGTGAGGAGGTTCCTTTGGTGGTCTTGGTGGAAGAGGAGGGGGGCATGGCTTTGGTGGTTTTGGCTGAGGAGGCTGCTTTGGTGGTTTTGGTGGAAGAGGAGGCTTAACCTTTGGGGGGCATGGCTTTGGTGGTTTTGGTGGTTTTGGCTGAGGAGGCTGCTTTGGTGGTTTTGGTGGAAGAGGAGGCTTAACCTTTGGGGGGCATAGCTTTGGTGGTTTTGGATGAGGAGGCTCCTTTGGTGGGGATGGTGGAGGCTTAATAACCTTTGGAACAGGAGGAGGAGTATAGACAGGTGGAGGAGTATAAACAGCAGGAGGAGTATAGACAGGTGGCGGAGTATAAACAGGAGGAGGAGTATAGACAGGTGGAGGAGTATAAACAGGAGGAGGAGTGTAGACAGGAGGAGGATGTTTATGGAAAATTTTTGGTGGAAGTGGTGGAACTACTATAGGAGGGATGGTGATAGGTGGATGGGGGGGAAGCTTAGGCAAGAGAGGGTGGTGCTTCCAGAAGAAAGCTGAAGCGCATGTCTCTGAAGAAAACTTGAGTTTCCCAGCAGGACCAAGTGTGTGTTTGTCATCACCTTTTGACTTGATCACAATTTTGGTGCTGAAAGGACCATCATGGGAAGGGCAAGGAGCAGCTGATGCACTGAGTATCTGAGCATAACATTCTTCTTTCAGTTCATCAGCTTTCACGATGTCACGAGGAAGGGACACTTTGAAGTTTCCATTTTCATCAAGCTCACCAACCCCTCTCCTTTCAAAGTCTCCACTTGCTGCTTTGCAGTCTACTGTTACACGTAGCCCTATAGAAAAAGCAATGCACCAGATTAATAATAACTCTTTACACCAAACTGTGAATGAAACTTAGAGGGTTAATTATTAAACGTAAAAATGATAGGCAATAAGTTCCAACAAAGAAAATATGTAGTAACAAGTGTTTGATATTTATGACATAAATTAATATGTAGTCACAAGTGTTTCACATAAATTAATATGTAGTAACAAGTGTTTGGTATATATACTAGTCCAATTAAAATCAATTGAATGTCTATTAACATGGCTGAAACCATGCATTATAGACTGCATGCATTGAAATCAACTTAACTAGTTTTTCAAGTCAAAACTCAAAATAATCTCAATTTCCCATATCCAATTATCTAGGCAGTACTGTAGATGATCTGCCACCTGGTTACATTGTAACAATCTATACCCCAGGAAATTTGAGGTGTAGTATTTGTGTGTGCTCACAAATACTGATACACTAAAAAAACCCTATAGAGAATATGCAGGTACTATGTCTAAAGTGACACTGTACCTGAGAAAGCCTGGCTAGTTTTGATATTTTTATCCTTGCAGTCCGTGCATTCTCCCAATCCAACTACCTCCACTGTACTATGGTCACCATAGCAAAAGCCTACTACCACAAAAAGCACAGACAACCAGAAGCACAAAAGTGCTCCTTGGCGCTGGGTTAAGGCCTGCATAAGGAACTGCAATTACAGTTCCTAATGACTAAAGCAACAACGAGAAAATAATAAGAGAAGCTGTTAAGATTCTATGGTATGATGGAAGTGTGAGTAACTGTTCGATTCAAAAGCCTAATATATAGCCCTCTGGATATATCTCACCGACACTGAAATTAAGAACCTCACATGGGTGCACGGGGTCAATATGAGTGGGATCACAAAGACAAAGACAATAACGTGCATACACCAGCTTCCATAAACATATTACTATCTAATTCATTCAATGCATGGTTTCTCAACCGCACAGCTAAACGCATATCTTTAAGTGAATATCTGTCACAACCTACTCTTAAATGGCACTAATAAATGCATTTTACATTAAATTGCTGAAATGATTGTTGTTTGACAGAAGAATTCCAATGTTTCTACACATGAAAGGATGAAGATTTTGCCAACAGCCAACAGAATTTTCCTAGCTTCAGCTGTTCCCCGAGATTAACGTGAACTACTCAAGTCAACTGTTTCTTTATCCGTATCACACATTTAGAAAATTTGTAGAAGCTAGATCGTGAAAACTGTGTTGTTCCTGCCACTGGGAAAGAAAAAAATATAGCATATATCACCATGATGTCATGCACACAAACTCCTGTAGATCTTCAATTTTGTTGCTGGAATCAATCATACTTCAACTCTTCACAAAATAAGGTATCAAGAGATATAATGTACTGTTATCAACCCTTAAGAGAAAAAAAAGGTTCGACAAAGAAAAATCCCTTTAAATAGCTATAGACTAAAAACAACCTAGCAACAGTGAGTTTTGTTTCCTACTTTTGAGCACCAAAACTGAATAATATGCGTGTGGATTAATGTATCCCACCAACATCAGTTAAACAATCAACTCTCACTTTTGTCTGATCATTGTGGGACACTTTTAGTCACGATCTTATATTTAATAGCCGTTTTCTCTGTTTTTGAGTTCATTTCAATACATAAAATATGGCTATTGATCTCTTTCATTGTTTGACTTGGTGTTTCTGGTGGAATTTCGATCGATTTCGATTCTAAGGGTGTTTTGGTCATAATCAAAATTCTACCACGTAAGTTCTTTTTACTTAGGCTAGCAATTTGATTTTCAATCGAAAACGTGTATGAGAATCGAAAACTACAGGATATCGAAAATGCTGTTTTTGGTGTTTTGTATTTAAAGTATCGAAAGCATTAAGACTATCGAATCGAAAAGCAGAATATTAAATTGCGAGGAAATGTAAATTGCGAAAACCCCAAACTTGCATTAATTATAAATAGCAAGAAATCGAAAACAACGCAAATATAAATGACAAGAAATCGAGATTGCAAGAAAAGTAAATGACAGGAAATTGAGATTTGCAGAATGTTAAATAACAGGAAATCTAAATGCAGAAACTCAAATTTTCATTGAATTGAAATGGACAAGGAATCGAAAATACAGAAACATAAAACTGCTGAATTTAAGTTGCGCCAAAGTAAATTACCAAGGAAAATACAGAAAGCGGTAAATGCACTCAGTGAGTAAGGAAATCCAGATTGCCAGAAGCTTCATGGTGTTCGTCGTTTCTCCGGTAGACTTGTCACTACTGATTCTGTTCTCTGCCAATTTCTCTTTTCCCCCCCTTTTTCCTTCCTCCTTTGCTCTATTTATAGGGTATCCTTCAAGCCTTCCAAGAGCAGTTAACACGACTGCTACCACGTTCTACGTGCGTATGGCCGTTTATCTTCTATAGTTTCTAGGGATGGCAAAACGGGCTAGGCCCGACGGGCCGGCCCGCCAGCCCGCCATAATATGGCGGGGCGGGTTGATGTTTTCAGCCCACCAGCCCATTTTGGCCCGCCCGCCAAGCCCGCCAACCCGTCAGGCCAACTCGCGGGACTGGGCGAGCCGGCCCGCAGCCTCGCCTAATTAATAAAAAAATATTTTTTTATTGTAATAAAATTAATTATAAATATAATATACAAAGTTAAAAATTTTAAAAAGAGAATTAAAAAAGTTTCATTATTACGGAAAATATTCTCCTTCCCGAAATATATCATTCTCTCCTGTTCTCCTTGTTTATCCTAAGTACTGATTATTTTTATCCTTATTACTTGAATTAAAGGTGTAAGAATTACTCAACCAAGAATAATATGAAGTTTTATCAAATAAAAGAAATATAAGTACTTGAATTTTTCAATATAAAAAATATAAATTTTATAAGTTAACGTTATTTATATATATATATATATTTGTTATTATTTATTATTATATATATTTGTTATTATTTATTATTATGTAAATTTTATTATTGTTCTAAATTATAATTTCTTAAAATAATGTATTGATTTATATTATTAAATTGAAATAATATATATATATTAAATTATTAACAAACAAATAATAATTTTATTATTAAATTTATTAAAAAAAATTATTTTTAAAAAAATTATTTTTTTCTAAATTATGGCTCGGCCCGGCCATAATCGACCCTTGTGGCGGGCTAGCTCTGACCGTCATGACTATATCGGGCGGCCATGGCCATTTTGGCG